GGGGTGATCTTTTTTGCAGTTTTGAGATTTACTTAAGGGAGGAGCTGTGATTCAAAATCTATCTGCAGGTCCTGGTATTCACTGACAGGTGTGTGGATAATCTGGAACCCACTTCCCACTGCCTTGGAATCTGTTCGTGCAGTGGGGCTGTAGGTTTACTCCCTGAAATAAAATGTGGTTAGCAGAGGGAAGAGAATGGAGCAGACAGTGGGTTGAAGAGGGGGGTGGAGAGATAGAGAAGTAAGGGGGGAAACAAATGTGTGCCAACAAATGGAGAGAGAGACCTATACTGAAACAGATAAAAACAATAGACCACAGCTACAGACGAATCAACTCCCATACAAAAAAATAAATAAATAAAACATATAGTGATGCTAACATACAAGCTAACCAACCACCTTATTGGTGTGCTGTTCCTCTATACAAAGATATGGTTTACAGAGAGAAGAAAAGAGAAGAAAAGGAAGAGGGAAAAAAAAGGAACAATACAGTAGGAATAGAATTAAGTCATTAAACTAACAGAATCAATGAAGCACATTCTGAGACTTTTCGTTTAAGTCCAATGTCCTTTCAGTTCTGATTTCTAGCTTTCTTTTCATGCTGGTAAATTAGCTTGCAGTTAGGATCAGTTGCCCCTAGTCTGCTGTGAAGGACAGTTCAGATCACCCTCCGTTCACCACTCTGGCCTATGTCTTTTTCAAGCTTGCTTCTCCCGTTTCGGTGTTGTTACCTTGAATCGCCAGCAGGTGGTGCTATCTCAGCTGCTCACCCCAGAGGGGGTGGGGCCGGACAGGAACCAGCAGAGACTGGAGATGGATGCCTGCCTCATGGCAGACGGCAGGAGACTCACGGCGGGCAGGACGTCTCGGTCGCAGGAGAGGTGGCAGCGATCCCAGCAGATCTTCCCTGAAGGGGTTTCAAGGACTGAAGTCGTGGATCGCCTTCGGCCCAGGTGGTGCGATGTGCTACCAGCGGTGGCGGCGGCGTCTGTGCTGCAGTGGTTTCCAGTCCGCTGCGATGCTCCAGCGGTGGCTACAGCTCTGTATGAAGAGCAGGCTGCGATGTTGGGGTCCGCAGCCCCCGGGGCGAGAGCCAGAGACCCACTGCAGTTCTCCTTTGCAGAGGGTTTCACAGACCAGGTTGCCTTGTCGCCATCTTGCCGGAAGTCCCCCTTTCTTTCTTTTTAAGATTTCTGTTCTTTCATTATGAATTCTACTCCTTTTATCCCTATAACAATTTTAAATGTAGTTTTTTTGGTCTCCTTTTTATAGCTTCATTATCTCTTCATTGCTAATTCTTCTCTTCATCGTGTCTGCTGATTTTCCCTTGTGCTGAACTGTTTCTTTATGTGGCTTATAATTTTTTATTGTGAATGTTGTGAATTTGTCTCTGTAGAGGTTATTTTCTATGAAAGTCTAATTTCTAGATCGTTCAGTGGCTTTACAATTGCGTCTACCAAGAGTTTTTCAGTGGTTCAGGACTAAATTTTATCACTAATTTCCTGACTTGACATTTTCTTACATATTTGGGCTCTATATTTACATGTGTCTTGAAGTTTCAGTTTTTATAAGATTTTGTGAAAGCTAAAATGAGCAACATGCTTCCTTGTTCCTTCCTTGGCCTGCTAGATTCTTTTTTTTTTCCTGGTGCAGGTGTCCTTAGGGGCCTCAGATATATGTAAGGGTTTCATTTTCCAGTTTTGAAATTCACAAAGACCTAAGGCCACATGTCCCTAGATTAGCATTAACACTCAACTTTCTAGGGCCTGTATCTAAGTAAGATATCAGTCTTGAACTCTCAGTTCTGCATCTTAGGCTTCCTGTTTTCTTTCTATTTCTGACATCTGAGAATTTCTCTGTCTGGCTAAGTTAAAAAAAATTGTTGTTGTTGTAATTGTGGTTATATATTAATCTAGTATTTATCTTTTTTTTTTTTTTTGAGTCAGAGCCTCATTCTGTCGCCCAGACTAGAGTGCAGTGGCCGCTTCCGGACACTGCAACCTCGACTTGCCAGGCTCGGGCGATCCTTCTGCCTCAGCCTTCCGAGTAGCCAGAATTACAGGCACGTGCTACCACACCTGGCTGATTTTTTGATTTGTTGTAGAGATGAGGTCTTGCCAAGTTGCCCAGGCGGGTCTCGAACCCACGGGCTCAGGCAATCCACTCACCAGTATTTATCTTTGTTAATAGGAGATGAGGAGAGGTCCAGTGTTTCCTTCAGTTCTGCTAATGCGATGTTGCCTGAAGTTTTGTATATGTCTGTTTAGAACAAATTTCCAGAATTTGAATTGGTGTGTTAAAGGATGTGCGGAATTTAAGAATTGTTAGTTAATACCAAATTAATTTTCATTAAAGTTTAGCAGTCCCACCAACAGCACATAGAAATGTTCATTTAGAAATATTATCAATTAAAAAAATTGTCAGCCGGGCTCTGTGGCTCAGCCTGTAATCTCGCGCCTTTGGGAGGCTGAGGTGAGTGGATTGCCTGAGCTCGTGGGTTCGAGACCTGCCTGGGCAGTGAGACCTCATCTCTACAATAAATCAAAAAATCAGCCAGGTGTGGTAGCGCATGCCTGTAATTCTGGCTACTTGGAAGGCTGAGGCGGAAGGATCACCGGAGCGCAGCAGGTTGAGGCTGTGGTGGCCGGGAGCAGCCACTGCACTCCAGTCTGGGCAACAGAGTGAGACTCCAACTCAAAAAAAACAAAAACAAAACAAAAAAAATTGTCAATCCAGTCTGGGAAAAATATTAGAACCTCGTCTTAAAAAAAAAAAAAAAAACAACTGAGTGTGGTGGTGCGTGCCTGTAGCCCAGATACTCATAAGCCTGAGACCGCACCTCCCTTGAGCCGAGGAGGAGTTTGAAGCTGTGACCTATGATTATGCCACTGAACATCTGCTTGGAGGTCAGTGAGAGACCCTGTCTCTAAAAAAAAAAAAATGTTACTCCAAAAGCAACCAATTATACCTTGATAGTTTTAATTTGTATTTCTCAAGTTGTTCATAGAGTTGAATTGGCCATCTGTTGGTCATTTGTTTATTTTTTATAATTTGCTTTGTTTATATCATTTGCCTTTTTGTCTTCTGGGTTGCATATCTTTTTATTTTTGTCAAGGTGGTGGAACTCTGATTATTCTGGGTATAAATCTTACTACTATTATGTCTGCTATTTTCTCCCAGTCTCATGTCTTTTAATTTTGTTTATGCTTTCTTTTATTATATTGAAGTTTTTTTGTATCTTTTTTATCATGGTAAACTCTACAGAACATAAAATTTACTGTTTTAGCCATTTTTAGGTATACAGTTTAAGCTCAGCAGCATTACATAGATTCACAATGTTGTACATCCATTGCTACCATCCATCTCCAGAATTTTTTCATCTTTCCAAACTGAAGCTCTGTATCCATTAATCACTAACTCCTCTTCCTTTCCTCTCCTCAGTCTATGGCAATCACCATTTTCTTTTCTGTCTGTAATGAATTTGCCTGTTCTAGGTATTCATATAAGTGGAATCATACAAAATGTTCTTTTGCATCTAACTTTTCTCACTTAACATAATTGATTCTCAAGTTCTTATATGTTGTAGCATGTGAGAGATTTAAACTCTTTCTTAGGGCTGAATGATATTCCATTGCATGTATATACCACATTCTGTTTATCAGTTTTATCTGTCAGTGGACATTTGGGCTGTTTCTACCTTTTGGCTTTGTGAATAATGGTGCTGTGGACATTGGTGTAGAAATATCTGTTTGAATTTCTGCTTTCAGTTCTTTTGGTTATATACCCAGAGGTGGAATTGTGGCCATATGGTAATTTTGTGTTTAATTTTTTTTTGAGGAATCGCCATACTGTTTTCCACAGTGATGCGCCATTTTCTATTCCTGCCAACAATTTCTTCACATCCTTGCTAATACTTGTTATTTTGGGGGTTTTTGGCAATAGCCATGCTGATGGGTGTGAAGTGGTCTTTCATTGTAGTTTTGATTTGTATTTCCCTAATGTTTAGTGATGTTGAACATTTTATTGATCATTTGGATATCTTCTATTATTGTCCTTTTTTATCTCTGATATTTTTCTGTTTCTGCTCATTTTCCCTTTTATTTATTTTTCCACTTTCCCTTTCATTTGGATTGAGATTCAGCTTGCTAAATTTCAAAAGGAGCTTGGTTAGGATTGGATCGGATTTATTCATTAATGTGAGGATTATTGGTATCTTTACAGACTTGAGTCTTTCCATTCTGGAGCATAGAATGCCTCTCCAGTGATTTTATCTCTGACATTTCAGTAAACCTTTATAAAGATTTTGCACATTTGACATTTACTTTTAAGTATCTTATCGCTTGTATTACTGTTGTGAATGGCATTCTTTTTCCTGTTAGCTGTCCTAATGGTGGATGGGATGAATGGTTGACTTTGGACTTGTCCATGTTGAAACACTGATTCTTGAAATATACCTCCTACATTATTTTCTCCTACTTTTGGTCCACACCGGCTTGGGTTGTTACTTCTTATGAGTTCAAAGTCTTCTGCAAAACCAGAGCCTTCACCATGCATTGTTCTTCCTCAGGCTGCTTATTAAAATATTAGCAATATTTATCCTAGCACTTATGTTCAAGGTGTTATAGATTTTATATTTCCCCCATCTAAATAAAACCAAATTCATTCCTACTGTAGTCTTGCATGCATTCTCAGGAACTCTAATGACTATACATCACCTTCTTGAGCAGTCCTTAGGTCAACCCGCCCTTTCTTCCTGTAGCTAAGTTAACTTTTTGTTCTTAGCCAAATGGTACCCTTCACTTTTGCATGAACCCCTTCCTTTTGTGTTATCCCTCCCCTCTCCTTATCTTATCCCCTCTCTTCTCCCACATTCTCTCTCCTTCTTGCCCTTCTCCTTCTTCCTCCTCCTCCACCTCCTCCCCCTTTTTGTTCTTCTTTTTTCTCCTAAGTAGCTTTGTACCTGAGCAAGGACTAACTTCTCTCAACTCTGTTCATCTTCAGCCAGGACATCACAGGTGATATTTACTATTTCAACTTTGCCAATGGGCAGTCCACGTGGGACCATCCATGTGATGAACACTATCGGAACTTGGTGATCCGAGAGCGGGCGAAGCTGTCAGCTCCTGGGGCCATTAAGAAGAAAAAGAAAAAGAAAAAGGAAAAGGAAAAGGAAAAGAAAGACAAAAAGGACAGAGAGAGCCCCAGAGGTCCCCTGGTAAGTCAGTGGATGCCACCTCCTAGAGAGCCAGGGCTGAAACCTGTGGGGATATTGGGACCCTCTATCCAGGTGTCTCCTGCTGGGAGGTTAAAAACAACAACAGTAATAGAGTAACTTCTTGATAGTACATCATCTGCATTTTGTCTTCTGGCGATTTTCCTTTCAGCTTCTAGAAGTTGTACCATCTCTAAACATTTCCTTTTTTCCCCACTCAGGAAGCACCTTTTACCTAGTAGGATTAGTGAGAGAATGCTCTGCCGAGGATGGTGTTGCAGTGATAGTAGTAGTGATGGCATCTGTTGTCCTGGAGAGTGGGAACGGAGGGCAGTTGGCAGTGGCCAGTGAGCATAGATGAGTGAAGCACCCTTTCTCTTTATTCAGTCTTGCCTTCCTGTGTGTCTTAAAGTGGTGTGAATTCCTAGTTTCAGATATAGCCATAATTCAGTTGTCAAAATGCCATGACTGTAAGATTCAAAAGAAGAGCCTTGGGCTTTGTCTCCTGTAGGTTGTCTTTGTTGCCAGGGTCCTCGGTTGGTGGTGAGTAACTGAGGTTTGAGTACTTTCGGTACTCGGTTCAAAGTGCTCTTATCCATTATCGTTTTATTTGTCCTTCCAGCACATCTGAACCTAGGAGGTGGAGTTATTGCCCTCGTTTTTTAGGTGGAGCAGCTAAGACTTGGAGCCATACTAGAGTGAGGCCCAGGCTGTCTGAAAGTGCTGTGATTGTACAGGGACACCAGGCCTTCTTCCCTTTATGCAGCATGGGGAGTTGGGGCACGCTGAAGAGAGGTTGGGGTGTAGGAACTCATTCAGCCAGGTGGGGAGCAATGGGAATATACTTTTTTTTTAAAAAGATACAGAGCCTTACTCTTTTGCCCAGTTTGGAGTGCAGTGGCACGATCATAGCCTCAAACTCTTGGGCTCAAACTCTTGGGCTTAAGTGATCCTCCTGCCTCAGCCTCCCATGTACCTGGAACTATAATTGTGTACCACCAAGCCCACCTAATTAAAGAAAAAAATTGTCGAGATAGGGTCTTGCTGTGTAACCCAGGCCAGACTCAAACTCCTGGACTCTAGCAGTCCTCCTTCCTTGGCCTCCCAAAGTGCTGGAATTGCAGACCTGTACCACCACACCCAGCTGGGGCTATCTTTCCAACTCTCTTAATGGTGTAGTTGTTTTGCTCTTTTTAAAAAATAAATTTTACTTCCCACCAGAGCCTTGTGCTTACTTCCTAGCGAAGATTTTGTCCATCTTCCTTCTTTCTTAGGTTGTCAGTTCTGACTGTGAATGGTTGTTGATGAATTTATCTTTTGTTGTGTCAAAGCTCTGTGGACACTTCTTCCTGCCCTTCTCTCCCTGACATATTACTCGTGGTTCTGAGAAACATGAAAACAAGCCCTCAGTGGCTCAGCCTGTAATCCTGCGCTTTGGGAGGCTGAGGTGAGTGGATTGCCTGAGCCCACGGGTTCGAGACCTGCCTGGGCAACTTGGCGAGACCTCATCTCTACAATAAATAAAAAAAAAATTAGCCGAGCGTGGTAGCGCATGCCTGTAGTTCCAGCTACTTGGAAGGCTGAGGCGGAAGGATCGCCGGAGCCCAGCAGGTTGAGACTGCGGTGCCGGGAGCGGCCACTGCACTCCAGTTTGGGTGACGGAGTGAGACTCCAACTCAAAAAAAAAAAAAAGAAAACAAGCCCATTCCTCCAGGTAGATAAAAAAGGGCAGATAATTTCCAGATAGGTTGAAATTTCCAATATCATGTGTTTGAAAGGCAAAAGGTGGCTGATGGGATTTTTGCTAACCTGAGATTATTTGAAGTGATAATCAGGCATCTAGGTAGGCTCTGTCATGACTAAAGGTGGGAGAGGGAATGAAGCGAGGGTTCTGGGTTGGAGAGTTTGGTAAAAGACTGACAGTGAGTTTGTGATTGAATTCTTGGAGCCCTCTGTTCCTTTCGGTAGTTTCAGGAAGTGAGGACAATTGGCCAGCCTTAGGCTATCAGCCTGGTTCTTAGGCCTTAGGACAGGTGCCTCAAACTTGAGCTTGTCTAGGGGATGGGCCTACACCAGGTCTGCAGCCTGGGCTCTCTGGAAGTGTGTACTGACAGCCAGGTGGTGTTCATTGTAAATGTTGGAAGGGGCAGTTGATTTTTTTAGTGTTTCTTCTAGCCCTGTGGTTCTATGACATTGTGAACATCTCCTAAGCATACTAACTTGTGCCTTTGTTAGAAGATACTAGACTGAGTTTCCAAGGCTCAGATTACTTGCTATGCTTTTTTTCTCTCCCTCTTGGAAAATTCATGGGAGTTTTTGATAAGGTTAGTGGGTTTTACAAAATGAACCACCACTCACAGAACCTGAAAGCTGGATGGAGCCTTAGGGGTAATCTTGTTGGCGATTTTCAGACTTTTGTTAGTAGTAAAGCCCTGTTTTCAAGTCAGTTCCTATAGAGGTCCAGCTTATAAAAAAGGATAAGGAGTTGCTCTGGTTGAACCTGGGGTTGTGGGTCTTGGTGACACCTCTTCTCTGTCACATGCACACTTCTAATGCTCCCCAAAGTACTGAACTCCCCAGGTGTCACGGAGCAAGTTTTGCAAGACATTGATTTAGTCCAGCTTTCTCTTTACAGATAAGGAAACTGGAGCCCAGAAAACATATTTTCAGCCCAAGAAAGTTTTTATCTTTTCTTTCCTCTTTGTTTTATGTTCTACTTTAAATGGAGGGTGGATTTCTGCTAAGGGCTGGCCAAGGGCTGAGGTAGTAAGTATAAATCAGAAGTTCTCTGTCTTAGTTTTCTCTGCATATTTATATACTCATCTAGGAAACACAGCCTGAGCAGGGACTTCTGCCTTCTGCCTCCTTTCTCTGCGGCCTGGCCCCTCTCTCAGCACCTGGGCTTGCTGGTCTGGACCTAGATCAAGAGATACAGGCTAGAAGTAAGGGCTCCTTTAAGAAAGAAAAGAGCCTTTGCTTGCTGGGCGACATCCCCCAGCTTCTCACGGTTGCCCCTCCCAGGAAGCTGCAGCCGATCTCTAAAGGCCAAGCTTCTCGAACCCAACAGATCTTTGCCGACATGGAGAACATCTTAAGCAGGACCCCAGCCCAATGCAGAACAGAATTAGATGATCTGCAGGATTTGGAGAAACCCCAGAAAGTGACAGAGAAAATCTACCTGGGGTTTTCAGACCCTGAAATAGAAGAGCTGGAAATGAGGAACAGACAACAGAAACCGGGTGCTCCAGGCCCTCAGCACCCTGGGTTTCTCCAAAATGGGCAGGATGCGTTAGAAAGCAGGAGCCAGCCCCCTATCCACTCAGAGATTTCTGGAACCATCAAGGGCCTGCAGCAGAAGGGGGAGCAGCACAGCCACCGCTTAGCCAAACTGAGTGCTACTGGCCCTGGGGGGGACAAGTGCCAGAGCGCCATTCCCATGCCTTGCCCTGGGGAGGAGCCTTCCCTGTCCTCTTGTTCTTCTGACCACATGATGCCCACCAGGAAGAGCAAGCTGTTCTTGTTAGATAGCAGCCTCGCTGAAGACCTGAACTGGCAGGGAGCTCCTGGGGAAGGTGGGAGCGTGGGCAGGGGGAGGAGGAGGAGAGAGCCCTCAGGACTGTGGATGGGACAGGTCTCTAAGCTTGTCAACAAAGACATCCCAGGGAGCAGCAAGGGAACAGAGCCCAGTGACCCTGAGGCTCCAGGGGCCTCAGCTGAAGATCCATCTCAGGGACGCTTCCTAGTCCCACCTGATACCTTGGCATCAGAGCCAGCTCAGAGTGCCACTTCAGCAGGTGCCCCTGGGGAGTCTCCTGCCAGTGAGAAGAGACATCCCCCAGCGTCTCCAGAGCCGCCCTATGATGATGGGAAGCCTAGCATGTCTGAGCCTGACTTGGAGAACAGCACCAGCAGCAGCCTGGCCTCATACCTTGGCTCTCAGATCTTGGGAGAGGTGAACAACTTCCCTTGGGATCTGCAGAGCCCACAGGGATCTGAGCAGAGTGTGGGTCAGTCAGGCCCAGGACTCAGGGATCAGCACTTCCGCCCCTTCCTAGCGCCCCAGAACTTGTTCGACATACAGAGCTCCGCCGAGGAGCAGTCAGAAAGTGAAGACTACTCTGAGGATCAGAGGTTCCACCAGCACCTCCTGCAGATGGTCAAGATCTCCAGGCGGCTAGAGGGCCTGGGGCTGCCTGAGAACATGCAGGACATGCCCTGTGAACGCAGTATTAGCACGTCTTCCAGGATGTCTAGTGAGGGTGAGCATGAGGCCATCAGAGCTATGGAAAAGAACTCACAATTTCTGTCTTTGGGGTCAGAGCTGCTGGAACATCCTCAGGAGGTGGCCCTGGCCCCTGCTGGGCAGGAGGCCTCTCAGCAAACCCCTTTCCAGCCAAGCAGCAGCTCCCTCAGGCAGAAGCTAGTCGAACTGAGCTCCAGCAGAGGGCTCGCTGCACAACCAGGCAGGATGCAGCTTCTCAACCAGGTAGGCTTCTTAGCAAGGCCTGAGGGCCTAGGCTCAACAGGGAGGGAGCAGGTGGTGGTCTCAATGCACCCATCGTGTCTGCTTTCCTATTCCTCACCCACTCCTGGTAACTACTGGTACCTCAATGGCCCAGATGGCTGTCTTGGGGGATGACACATAGTTCAAGTTTCTCTCATCTCATCACCTGCAAGATAGGGCTGAGGATGTCTATGACTTTCCTCCCCTAGCTCTAACTGTGGTTCTTGGATGGTTCACATGATTTGAAAATAATCAGTTTTGAGGGTGGGCAGGGTGGCGCTGATCCTGGCACTCATGCAGGTTATAGATGCCTCCCTATGTGATTTGGGAAGCCTTTCCTATCAGCTGATTCTAGAGAGAGGTTCTTCCAAGTAGATACCCTACCCCAAAGCTCTGAACTTTATTCCTTCTTGAATTACCCAGAACTGGAGAGTTAATGCTCTCATGAAGGACTGAATCTCTCTCTGCCATCCAGTGAGTTGCTTCTGTTCCTTGCCTCCCAGGGTCTCCCGAAAACTATGAGAATAACCTGTGTCAGGCCCTATTTGTGAATTTGTTTGTGACTTCATTTCTTCCCCTACTGGGATTTACCAAATGGCTGGCCTTGGCCTGTCATTCCACTTTTGTCCCTTTGAAGCTTTGTCATGTTCTTCATTCAGAAGTCAAGTTGGATCAGAGACTCTGGGGGTCAATTTGGATCTCCCCGGCTGTTCTTTTGCTGTTGGCCAGCTGCGGCTTTACCCAGTTGTCCCCTCTGGTTCCTAATTGTTGGCTTGCATTGGTTCTCCGTTAACTTTAATAACCACTGTAGTACTATAAATATCGGATAAGCTGCAGATTACCCTGAAAGTTTTAATTAGCCCAATGGCAGCAAGTTTATCCGCTCTGAAGGACAATGCCACGCGCAGCCCCACACTCAGAGTTAATGGCCATCTATAGAAGATGATCGGCTAGGAGCCAGGAATGTATAATTTCCCCGCTAACCACTGATTTGGTAAAGGCCTGGGAGAACAAAGCCCTCAGCATGCCTGTCTCCCTCCCTCAAGCCCCCAACGCGCTAGCAAATTAGCCACGTTAGGAGTCTGTAATTTTCCATAAATACAGTGTGGGGAGAATTTTGCTTGCTATACACAGGCTGGTTGGGAGGACTGAAGCCCAGAGGAGCAGGCCTGGTTTGCTCACAGTTTACCTTAGAGAAGCTTCCCTGGGTTCTTTTTCTGCCACAACCTGAAGGTAGTGTAAAACCCTGTCTTGGAACTAGCCCTGAGTTTCAGTCCTGTCTCTGCCCCTTGCTGGCCCTGTGAATTTGGGCTGGTCCTTGACCTTGCCAGCCTCTGTTTGCTCACATGGGGACTATGGATAATGACAGAGCCCACCTCAGGTTGTTATGAGAGTTAAGTGAGACATTGCATGGAGTGTGTTTAGCTGGCGCATTGCTGGCCAGTCTTAGGATTATCAGCTCCTTTTCTCTCTAACAACGATATTCTACAATAGGCCAGATGACTTGGGACCTTTTAAGGCTCAGGAGTGGTTCTCTATTCACTTTCCAGATGAGCCTCTGATGCCCTCCTGTGCAGAAACAGGCCCTGCTTGGGACCTGCCCACTGGTCTGGCCCCTAGGCCCTGAGGCTACAGGCGAGATGGGCCATCTGAGCTTCCTCAGCCTGATATCTTCTGGGCACCCCTTTCTTTTTCAGTCCCTGTGGGATTAGAGAGGGATGGAATTTTTGTGTTGTCTTATACATTTCAAGTTTGAGAAATGAATTTTGAAGATCTCTTTGTAAATTATCCCCAGATGGTCATTTTGCCTCTGCCCCTGGTAAGCCCAGATTATTGTAATGTGACTCCCTGGAGCAATAGCAATTAGAGAACATTAGTCTATCCCTGGGTCACTCTCAAAGGCCCATTGCACTCATGGTCTTCCTTGAGCTTCTCAACAGACCTTCTCAGGTGGCAAGACATACATCATCTCCATCTTGCAGATGAGTAAACTGAAGAATCCAAGAGTTGATGAGTACCTTGAGGTACTCACAAATTTGGACTCCCAATCTGGCTTCCTTCCCCAGACCTCGCTGGCATGAGCCCCCCCATTTGACCCTCCTTAAACAGGGAAAGGAAGGGACCTGGCCAGCCCCACCACTGGCCTCTGGTAAGGCTCCTTTCAGCCACCTCCTTCGTCAGTGAGGAGGGAAAGAGGGTCCTTTTGGTGCGCATATATATTTTTTATAGTGTTTATTTTAATTAAAATAATGCATGCCTATAGTTACAAAAAATACTCTAGTAGTACATCACAAAGTACAGGCGTTCTCTGGTGTGCGGAGCCTTCCCCTAAGGCGCCAACCTTCTTGTGGTGTTTACTTCCATCTTTGTAGATAATATGCCTAGACCACATTTTCTTGACTCATCAATTTTAAACTTGATCTTTTGGGACTTCTGGTAGATGAAGATTTTGTCTCTGCGTTTTCCCTCCCGCGTCCTTCCTATATGGCTTCTGAAAGGGGCACAGAACCCTGCATCTGCCAGATGTAAAAGAACTGTTTACTGTGAGACAGCATTAGAGTTATGAGAATCAGGAAACCAGCCTGTGATTTCTCACACAGTTGGCACAATGGTAATTTCTGGTTGTTGTGTTTCATTAGCAGCCTCCAAGCGGAGGTGGTTTAGATTTGAGTGCACAAGATTTAGACATTTTATTTTTATATCTGTCTCAGACACTCCCAGAGCCACATGGTTTCTTGGGTTTGTAACAGATGTTTTTTGTTGTCCAGGCCCTGGGCTCCTCGTTAGCCCCTGTTCACGTTCCTCCTGGGGGCCTGGCTCCTTTACGAGGCCTGGCAGATGCCCCCCACTCTGCTCTTCGTGGATCTCAAAGTGTGAGCCTGGGGAGTTCAGCGGAGTCTGGTCAGCTTGGAGAACCCACGCTGGCAAGTTCTTTCTCTTGTATTCAGTGTATTGTGTTCAGTAGCTAAACTAAATAGACTCACTAAACTAACTAGGAAGTATGGCCCATAGGTGAGAAATAGAAGGAATAGGCTGAGTCCTCAAAGTTCATAATGTAGTTGGGAAAGTGAGTCATACCCATATGAACATGGACTCTAGGCTGTGAGGATAACCCCATGCTGCAGGGACATCAGCGCTCATTTCCCAGTGTACATAGCCAGGGCAGTAGGAAGAAAGTCATCAGCGGGAGCTGGTTGGCGTCACGGACACAGTGGGACTTAATCTGGGAGCCACCTAAATAGAGAGTGGAGAAGACATTCTGAAGGTCATTCCAAGGGTCTTCCTAGTACGCCCCTGACTATCCTCTATTTTGGATCCTTTATAGGGTCTGAAGACTTCTGCTTATACAATGGGTCTCTTGGGCTCCATCCATGAGGACAAGAACCCTCTCAGCCCCTTGGCTTTAGGGGAGGAGACCAACAAGGAGGATGAGGAGGAAAGTGACAACCAGGTAATGATGAAATCCTCTCCCTGGCCCAAAAAAACTCTGTGCTGTTTTTCTTTTGAATAAAATTTCTACTGTGAGTATATGTATATGTGTGCGTGTATGTGTGTGTTTGTGTGTGTGTGTGTGTGTGTGTGTGTGTGTGTAAACCCCCAAAACTGGAATTTATTATTTAAAAATATGTATTTATTCTCACATGTTTAAACTTCAGTCACCTTCAAAGTACTCTCTGTTTGATGCAATGCACCTGTCAGTTACTTTTTCCACTGCACAAAACAGCTTTTGAGCTCATCAATTTTGATACCTTTTAGTGCTTCTGCCATGTTTTGGTTCACCTCTTCCACATTGACAAAATGTTTCCCTTTGAGGATTTTTTCACCCAGGGAAACAAAAAAAAGTCACTTGGGGTGAGATTGCGTGAATAGGGGATTGGGTCATGGGAGTCATGCTGTTTTTGGTCAAAACTGCTGAATACTTGGTGCGGTGTGGGCAGGTTGTTTGTGTAAATCACTTGTCATGAAATGGGCGAATGTGTTGAAAGAATCTCCAAAAAAAAAAAATTCAGTGAAGCCGAACACAGCCTTTCACAACAACACTAGCTGGTACGCTGATGCCAGTGAGTTCCTGGAGCACTTACCTAGTAGGGGAAGCCTGTACTACGATGTTCCCACCTTCTAAAAGATAATGCCAGGTTTTTTTGGGTTCCCCCTTGTATATATGTATACACACACACACACATACATATACATAAATATACATAATAAAATTTGCCATTCAGTGGTATCGATTACCTTCACAGTGTTGTGCACTCATCACCACTATCCATTTCTGGAACTTGGTCATCATCTTGAATAGAAACTCTGGCCTCATTAAATGATAGCACCCCATTTCCCCTCCTTCCAGCCCCTGGTAACCTCTAATGTACTTTCTGTCTCTATGAATTTGACTCTTGTAGGTACCTCATATAAGAAGAATTATGCAATATTTGTCTTTTTGTGTCTGGCTTACTTTACTTAGCATATGTTTTCAAACTCATCTATGTTGTAGCATGTGTTAGAACTTCATTCCTTTTCAAGACTGAAAAATATTCCTTTGTATGTATATACCACATTTTGTTTATCCACTCATCTGTTGATGGATACATGGGTTGTTTTCATATTTGGCTAACCACTGTGTTATTAAAAAAAAAAAAAAAAGGTTTTCCAGCCCACAACTTCATTTCTTATATACCTCCTAGGTCTGATCCAGAAAGCACAACTGACAAAGAGCTTGGCCACTTGCTTGGTACAAAGTATTGTTCACAAGGGTTGGAGAGGGCTGTTTAGTGAGGCTGCCTTAGTGGAGGTCCTGCCTCGAGTCCTCTGATGCCCTGTCTGGGCACTGCCTGCCAGCTTAACAGCACCCCACTTTTCCCTCTGCATGCTTCTCACCCCAGGCTGACCAGTTTCCTTTGACTTACTACTCGTAATGGTTTTTGTTTCTAGAGTGTCCGCAGCTCGAGTGAGCTTCTTAAGAACCTGCACCTGGACATTGGGGCACTGGGGAGTGACTTTGAGTATGAGGTAAGAGCCCAAAGCCACTGTGGGCAAATGTGTTGGCATGGCATATCCCTTGTCCTTATTAAGCCTTTCTACTTTGTGGGATGCATGTTGTTCCAAACTTGTCCTGATAGGACTTCTGGGATTTGGGAAGGGACAAGAGGAGACAAGAGTCCATTCATTTATTTATTGATCAAGTACCGTTTATTAAGTGTTTCTACATGAGGCACTTTGCCAGCTGCTATAGATCATACGAGTGTAAATGAGATATGATTACTGACTGCTGTGATAGAAGAGAGACCTAAATGATTAGGACACAGGGTAAAATGTGGTGTGGCCATAAGGAAGGTAAATAGAGTCTATGGGAAGGGAGAATTAGGGACTCCTGCCCACTTGAATCGACCAGGAAAGGCTTTATTGAGAAATACACATCTGAGGTGGGCCAGAAAGAAGGATGGGCAGAACCAGACAAACAGAGGTGAAGGGAGAGAGAAGTCCAAATGCAGGGAACCGCACAGGCAGAGGCGGAAGGTACGGGGTGAGTTTGGGGCAGATGAGGTGTCTCCTTAGACTGGAGCACAGTGCAGATGGGAAGGCAGTGGGAGATGAAACTGTGGGGTGAATTGGGCAGCCCTGTAGTACCTGAGGGGCAGACCAAGAGGCTTGAATTGGCTTACGCAGACGTTGGGAGTCATCTGAGGTTTTGAACAGAGGTATGACATCATCCTGAATCTTAACATGGCATTGAATGCTTACTCTGTACCAGGACACCGTGCTAGACTCTATGGGAGATGTGATTATCGGTGAGACATGGGCCTGGGATGTCCTCAAGGAGAGGGAATGGACACTAGGGACTTGGCATTCAGTAAGCGCTCAGTAAATGTTGAATGAATGGTTAGAAAGCTATAAGGCAGAGCAGCATTAGTACAGAGTTATGCTGTTTTGTGGAGTTCAGTGAGGAAAGAAACTACTTATATCAGAGAAAACTTGGGGAAAGAGATGACATTTGACCTGGGTCTTGAGGGGATAAGTTTTGGACATGGAGGATTTTAGGAGACATTCTAGGGAAACATTCTAGGGAAACAAACAAAGGCACGAGGGCTGAACAGTGCCGAATATGGTGAGAATCTCTCCTGGAATACCCTTCTAATTCGTATCTCTTTCTCTGCAACCTCTTCAAAAAAACAAACAAACATTGAAACTCATCATGTCACTTTAATACCTAGAACCTCCAGTGCATTTTTGTACTTGGAAAGGATAGTTCTTTACAATGTGTCCTTTGTTTAGTGTCCAATTTATTTTATTTTTAAACAGCATTTCTCTAAATATTCCCCCAAATATTTACACAGCCAATGAATCATGAAGCCAACAAGTTAGGCTTCTCGAGCATTTAAATATTGGTTGCAGTTTTCACAAGACTGACATATTAAATTCTTTGATATACCTTAAACACCTTAAAAATCAAACAAGTCACTAATACTTCATTGAATGATCACAAAACTGGCCTGTAAAACACAAGTGCTCATATCATGGACTAAATTTGTTTCTTCATTATCCCTTATTATTTCTTATTTCTTGGTCTTCGCCTCACCTTGGGAGCCAGGATTACTGCCTTAGGCCAGGGGAGGTTTCAGATGTTGGCAAACAGCCCTAATTTGGTACTTGAGACCTGAGTTGTGTGTGGACCTTCCAAAGGTGGCCCAACCCTCCTCCTTGGGCAGGACCCTTTTCGTATTTAGGCTTTGCCCATTATCTCAGAAACTGTTCAGCTTTTTGGATCTGCACAGTGATATGTTTTGATTATGGCTTTAACAGTTCCTGTCAAATGTAACCCTTTTTTCTGAGTGTCCCGTCTTTATCAATACCATGATATATGTCTACTTTCTGAGGCATGTAACTCATATAACTGTTCCTTCTGAGTGGGGTCTGGTCTGTTTGGATTAAATCCAGAACCTGTTTGGTTTCCTGAAATGACAATGTTTCTTCCCCATCCACCAGCAAGACCTATACCTGTAGAATCAAAGGAGATACTCAGGTGTGTGCCTGGAAGGATGACCATGAGTGGGAACAGGGGTGTCAGGGGAACTTACTTGCTTTTGGAGAAAGAGGATAGTTTTCATGAGAAAGAGCAAGTTAAAGGTGGAAATTCTGCCTTATTCTTGTCCGTATGTCCAGGTGGCTCCTAGCCCACTGCATGGAGCACAGAAAGCACTTGGGTATGTTTTGTTCAGCATTCGAGAATATGAATCTGTGAATGAGTGAATGAACCACGCTAGGCCAGGGAACATGTCTAGGCAGGTATGTTGAAGTTTTTTTTCCCTTGGCTTTCTTGGATTCTGGTAGAGTGGGTGCTTGATCCCTGGTGTCAGCTGATGAATTGAAGATCGCACTGTGGATGGATCATGATTCACTTTGACCTTGGGATATTTAGCATTTACTTCATAATGGACTAGAAATATCAATCAGCCGGGCTCGGTGGCTCAGCCTGTAATCCCGCACCTTTGGGAGGCTGAGGTGAGTGGATTGCCTGAGCCCGTGGGTTCGAGACCCGCCTGGGCAGGAGAGACCTCATCTCTACAATAAATCAAAAAATTAGCCGGGTGTGATAGCGCACGCCTGTAATTCCGGCTACTCGGAAGGCTGAGACGGAAGGATCGCTGGAACCCAGCAGGCGAGGCTGTGGTGGCCAGGAGCAGCCACTGCACTCCAGTCTGGGCGACAGAGTGAGACTCCAACTCAAAAAAAAAAAAGAAATATCAACCAAAAAGGCATTTTCTTCTTTGATGTATTCTGGGTTTCTAAAAGCTTTTCTTCTGAAGATTGTATACTTCTTTGGGGGAGTAGGAACTTTTAACATTTTTATAACCTCTTTAATATAAATAGACACCCCAGTGTGATGAGGGGAAATGTCTGCAGTGGGCGGTGTTAAATACACTTCCCACCCCGTCTCTAGCATCCCAGCAGATTTAGTTCTTTTTGCCACATGGAGTGTTGGATTCCTGTGTCCTCAGGAATTAGGACTTTTCCCACTGGGGAAAGTTAGTGGTGGGATGAATGGGGGTTTCAGGACAGGCAGCCCTTTGCTTGGGCTCTACCTTTTGAAATTGGCTTTTGTCCTAGTTTACGGTCTGTGGGTCCTCTGACCTGCTTGCCTTTCCCCAGTGCTGAGCTTCCCAGGCAGCCCTGGATGGAGATGTACTTCTGAGGTTGGTTCCGTCTGTCTCACTGAGCAGTCACTTTGCTCATAATTCCATGAGAGGGCAGCAGGATGGCAAGAATGCATCTCTCCCTCTGTCTCCTCCCTCCTCTCCTGTCTCCCACCTTCAACCCACTTCTAGTCTATTACAGATTCAAGAGGGAAAGGTTTGTGAACCGACACTGAGAATGGGATGAGCAAAAGGGAAGGCTGAAGGGTATGCAAGAAGGCTGCATGTGACCTTGTGGCTGTCTGGTGCTGGTGAAAAGCCCATCAGTGGATCGGAGGAGGAAGAGGGAGCCTGGGCTTAGAAATCACAGGATGATGTCAGTGTGATTGGAAAGTGCTAGCACCAGGGAGCTGTGCGAAGAATTGAGACCAACTGGGTGGGCATGAAACTTGGAAAATACACTGCCCTGATGGTTGGCTCAGTGGGCATCTCCCCAGAACAGGAGCAATGCATAGCCATGGTGTTCTGCTCCCTGGCCCTCGCCATGCCCCTCCTGTGTTGTGGTGATTGCAGGAGTCCCTGTCTTTGTGCTCTGGGCAGGAAGGGGACCACAGCACTAGAGACCTCATTTTTTGGGAAGTATGTTAGCTATTCATGAAATCATTCTTACAGGCACTCTTCTGTATCCCCTTTTCATGCAGATGGTAAGGTCTTTTTTGAAAAAGCAGCAGAGATGTGCTTTGAGATACTCAAGGACCTGGGGCTGTGGCAGGAGGAGACAGAAGGAGTCTGAACAGGGATGAGCTGAGGGCAAAGCTGTGCTGGTACTGCAGGCCTCGTCTTTACCTGAACTTCCCATGGAGCCCTGCACTCCCCACGGAGCCTGGGGCGGGAGGCTGGGCAGCGGCACCCTATGATGTGACAAGGAGCAGTGGCTGGGTGAGATGAGCATGGAATCAGATGGATTTTCCAGATGCTCAGCTCGTTTGTGCACTTATGAGTAACTTACAACAAATGTCTACCCTTCCTCTCATCTCCCCACCCTTAAGACGCACCTCTGGCTGTCCTGTCGCTGCAGAGGTAATTTATTTTAATATTAGCCATGTTTCACAATTTTCATATTTAGATAGATGGACTAACACAAGCCCCATCATATGAAAGTCTTCTTTTGAAGAATTTGAGCTTGAGAATTGGGTAGACTGGGCCCAAGATTCTTACAGTCTGGCTATAGTCTCTCACGTGTAAGAGTGGGAATCTCTATCTGTATATAGTATTCTCTGATTTTTTTGATAGATTATTTTTCATCTTGAATGATTAATTAATTGTTAATCAATAGTTAACATTTGCTTAGCGATTTTCTGTTTAATAAGCTCTGTAACAAGTATAGGCTAATCCCTGTGTAGCCTTGTAAAATAAATATTCATCTTCATTTTGCAGAGTAAGAGGGGAAGCCTCAACTCCACTCTTTGCGTGACACACTTACTCATTTTTAAACAATTCGGCCAACAGCTTTTACTGAGCACCTATTATTTGCCAGAAACTAGGTACCGAGGATAACAGGGAGCTCATTTGGTGAAGGAAACAGAAACATGCATGCCAGAGTAGTGAAATAGCCTGACGTTTATCCACAGGCAGGAGGAGAGGATGCTGCAGGGTTTGGCTGGAGGTGAGCCATGAGAGGCAGGCAGGGGCTGGGCCAGAGGGGCTGTGGGCAGTGTGAGGAGGTATGAACTTTATCTTAGAGGAGGCAGGTGCTGCTTAGGGTCAGATACCTCCTTTGTCCCCTGATCCAAGGTCTGTCCACACCCAGCTTCAAGTAGGAGAGCCTTTCCTCCATCTCGGGATGAGCCTGGCCAGGTTGAATTGGCCCTGCCTGCTGAGTGAGGGAGTGTGGCTCGCCAGACACTGCTTCCCCAGCCCAAGAAATTCCCGCCTCCTTCTGGGATTCTCAGAGCCCCAGGGACTGGGTACTGAGCTCCTGCTGAGTATGGGCTGCCTTTGGGGATTTGGAGGTGAGGAGGCCTGGCCTCAGCCTGAAGCTGCATCTTTGAGAAGAGACGTCTGTCTCCCTTCTTATAGCCCCGTGATCATGGCAGATTTATTCCACGCTAGAGGTTATGTATGCTGGGAGCGGCAGCATAGGGAGTACCTGCCTGCGAGCTGCTGAGGCTGAGGAAAACCACCCCTTCTTCATTTCCCTGTGCTTTTTCTTTCTGGCACAGGCTTGGGCCTGGTGACAGCATCACCACTGCTTCTAGTGATCGTGGTTTTGGAGCAGTAAAGGCTTATAACCAGGGTCATCTGGGACATTTCACATTTCTGTTTTAGCTCAATTCTTGAGGGTGGGATCTATATCTTGGTCATATTAGGGGATCCCCTAGGCAGCATTCAGCGCACAGAAGGCGCTCAGTGAGTGAACACTTGGGTCACATCATTACTGAACATTCACGGGGCATGCACAGTTCTAAGTTCTTTAACTCACTTAATGAGTGTTAACTCATTTTTCTTTCTCACAACCCCATGGGGTGGGCACTACTCTATCTCAGTATTTTAGAGAAAGAAATGGAGGCACAGGGAAGTAAATATTTTGCCTGAGGCCACATTTTGGAGCCAGAACGTGAGTCTAGGCAGTCTGTCTCTGAGGCTGAGCTCAGAAGCCCTCTGTTTTACTGCCGCTATTAACCATCCTTAGGAGGCTTGCGTAAGCTTGGCAGCAGGCTGTCAGGCTTGCAGGTGGGTGGTCATACCCACGGGCACAGCAGATACTTCACCAGAGCGTCAATAAACGCCATGCCTAGGGCATCTCCCAGAACCTTTGACTCTCTAGTCATCATGCCCCTTGTCTGGGTATTCAGGGTAGGGAATCAGGAAGTCTTAAAGATCCCCCATCAGAAGTTGTTCAGCCTGGTGGCCCAAGTGTTTTCTGGGACAGATGCTTTCTGGGGAGATGTTTCCCAGTCTGAGCCTGGGAAAGATCACTGCCTGCATTTCCAAGGGAGGATTTCTTCCCTCTTTTGGCTGACTCTAAAGAATTTAGTGGAAATAGCCTTAGGTTTTTGCCAGTCTTTTCTTTTTTTGAGTCAGAATCTCACACTGTCGCTCAGACTGGAGTGCGGGGGTATGCTCACACTCACCGCAGCCTTGACCTGCTGGGCTCAGGCAATACTTCTGCCTCAGCCTTCCAAGTAGCTGGAACTACAGGCACACGCCATCATGCCTGGCTAAATTTTGATTTATTGTAGAGATGAGGTCTCACCAAGTTGCCCGAGCTGGTCTCGAACTCTTGGGCTCAGACAAGCCTCTTGCTTCCACCTTCCAAAGTGCTGGGATTATAGGTATGAGTCACCATACCTGGTCCAGGTTTTTACCAGCCTTTCAAGTGAGGTTTGTGTGTGAGGAGCAGGGTTGTGACCACCGCAGGGCTGTGCTGCTCAGATCTCCTTTCGAGAGACCCTGCCAAGGGGTACTTAGTGGATTGACAGCCTCCAGTTGCTGTCCCTTCCATCCATCCTGCTTCATGGCAAGGCCATGCTTTCTCCTGGAGACACAGTACACAGAGGTCTGAAAGCAAAGCCATTTCTGCCAAATGTGGGATTTCTCTAATGACAACCCGCCAAACATGGGACTCCTCTAATGGCAACCTGCTTGGGAACTCTGCTGGGCTAGCCAAGATCTTCTTAGAGTTGTGCTGTGGTCTGAGTCTCTTCCTTCCCTTCTTTCTGTCACAGGTGCCAGGCCTGCATTGTGTTCTGAAGGCTCTCCCCACCTCTATCCTTTACAGGCATCTCCCTCAATAAATCTGTTGCACACCTAATCCCATTTTAGCATCTGCTTCCCAGAGGACCCAAATTGACAGTTCTCAGCAGAGGGTGCTGACTCTAGAGTTGCTGATGATCACCTTGTGCAAGGGAGGCTTCAGGGAAGGACACTCTCCTGATGTTTTTTCTTCTACTGCCTATTAAAAATGAAAAATAGAAATTCTGGACTTGGCTATTTTTCTCTCACATGATTATCCATCATCATCTTAAATAAATATTGGCTTCTGAGTCTGCAGTCTTATGATGTGGCTAATGGGGCTAGGGTGAGACAGATTTATGACTTGAGGACATGACGGTAGTGGTGGAGTCATATAGTCCAGTGCAGTGATTTCCAGGCCCACCAGTGGACCGGGGTCAACTTGGGTGTATCCAAATCACCATAGAAATTCCTATTCAGTAGATCTGAGGTGGAGCCAGGAATCTGTGTTTTAAAAAACTCTTCAGGTGACTGATTACTATTGGGGTTAGAACTCGAGCACTGGCCGGTAGTTGCCAAGGAATGGTATCTCCGTTTTGTAGCCGGTCTCTAAGTTCCTCGATCTGTTCCTAATGTCTTCCTTTCTGACATGGTCTGCTGCTTCCTAGGAGTCTCCAAGAGCAAGCCAGCCAGAGGAGAAGAAGCATATTTCTCTGGATTCGGATGTTCCTGGCCCCCCTTCTCCCGGCAGACTCTGTAGCCAAGAGGCAGACAGCAGTCTGAACAGTGACGATGACAAAGGGCGACAGGGAGGAGGGGCAAGCCCTGGGCTCCCAGGAAAAGAGGAGACCGAGAAGAGTGAGCCTGGGGCTTCCAGGAGCCTGGTGACTGCCAGAGTGGACCCCGGTGATGAGCCTGCCAATACCTCTAAAAAGGAGGCACCAGAGGTCCCAGTGGATGCAGGAGAGGAGGGTTCCACGAGGGAAGAGGTGGCAAAGAAGAAGGCGTCTGCCCCGAAAGAGGGCAGATCAGATGCCAGCCAAGTGAGTCGCCGGGGCCCATGTGCAGTTGTCTGCCACAGCCCTCTGCTGCTCCTCTCTGTCCTGTGCAGAGTCCCAGCCCCACATCTTTATTACTGAGCAGGAGTTTCATTTGTAGTCCTTGTGCTGGGCTGTCAACATCAGCCAGAACCCTTAATTGTGACAAATATGCCCAGACCCAGCAGGCAGTAAAATCCTGAATGAAACTGCAAACCTGCTGGCATCGAAATTCAGGGTGGAAATGAGCTTTTCCATTGGCCCCCTCCTGGGCAGTCATGTTCTTTTCTCCTCTTTGCTTCCTCTTTCCCCTTCTTGCCTCCCCCTTGCCCTTCTTGACATCAGTTTGGGGTCAGGCATGGTTGCAGCAGTCCGAGTTCCCACAGAGAGAGGAGAACAGGGTATCTGTATGAGGGAGTAGGGCAGGTACCACAGTGGGAGTGTCCTGCCCCAGCATATAGGTAGATTAAGTCCCAGGAAGACTCTTCTCATGCATTTCTGTGACTCCTTCTGAACCAACCCAAGACATGGGAATGGTTGCTTTGGCAAGACCAGGCCAGTGACCAAAATGGACAGAAGTAGGCTGAGTGGGGAGAGCTTTTGGCATTTTAGATTTTACAGTCCTTAGTCCTGCTCCTCCTCCAGGTAGATGGTGAGGGAATTCATTTAAAGAACTTTTGGCCAGGTGTAGTAGCTCACATATGTAATCATAGCACCTTGGGAGGCTGGGGCTGGAGGATCACTTGAGGAAGCCAGGAGTTCAGGACCAGCCTGGGCAGCATAGCAAGACCTTGTCTTAATTTGTATAAAATAATTTATTTTAAAAAAGCATCCCAAAAAGAGCTTTTATTTATTTTCTGGAAAAGATGCTCTCAATTCTGTTTTTTCGGATAGCATCGAACTTATATACAGCCAACTTTCTAACCACCTCCATTATGTGAGACTCTCCTTCCACGTGTGAATTGTTGGTCTGATTCAGTGGTATAGTTGCCTATGTTCAGCTGGGCTGCCTAACCCCAACTGAAGGAAGCTGGTACATGTGTCCAGAGAGAATGGCGGGGTTCCCAGGCCTCCTTCAGGTTTTTTTTTTTTCTTTTGAGTTGGAGTCTCACTCCTTCGCCCAGGCTGGAGTGCAGTGGTGCACACACAACACCCCAGTGTCGACTCACTGGGCTCCAGTGATCCTTTTGTCTCAGCCTTCCAAGTAGCTGGAACTACAGGCATGTGCTACTACGCCTGGCTAATTTTTTGATTTATTGTAGACACAAGGTCTTGCCAAGTTGCCCAGGCTGATCTCGAACCCGCGGGCTCAGGTAATCCACTCACCTCGGCCTTCCAAAGTGCTGGGATTACAGGCTGAGGCACCGAGCCTGGCCTCCTTCAGGTTTTCAAGAAGAAAACTTGCTTTGTGCTCTGCTCTGAGGGATTTCTCTGTGGGACTCTCTCCCCAGGAGTCAGAGATTAGTGAGCATGTGAAGGAACTACAGCTTTCAGACTCCACGGCTTCTGACTGCAAGTCCTTCCTTGGCCTGGTGAGTTTGGGATGAGGGCAGCAGAGTGGTGGTTAAGAGCTTGGATTTGTGAGTCCCCAGGGTTAAGTAATTTGCATAGTATCACACAGTTTGTAAGTCAGTAAGTCCAGACTCATACTTGGGTGTTACCTAGCTATAGTGTCTCAACCCATTAACTAAGGATGACACTACCTACTTTATAGGTTTGTTTTGAGAAGAAAGAGTATGTAAAATGTTAGCATATACACATGTTATTATTACATACTTAATAACAGTAAAATATTAGCTCTGATTACTGTTACCATTGTGTGAATTGCCTGTGAGATCATGCGAGTTGCCCTGGGCTCCAGTAGTAACATTACATGAACCTGTAAGGGGTTACAGACTGATGTGTTTGTGTTTATGGGATCACTGAGCGGTGGTGAGGACCAGTCCCCAGGCCTTGGCCAGGAGGGATGCTGTGGTTTCATTTCTAAAGTCAAGACTTTGTCCTGGAATGCCAGCATCCACGGATTCTTTGTCCCAGCCCTTCCACCCAGCCTGCTGTATCCTGGTTTCATTTGCCAGGTCTGTATCTGAGGGGAGTAGTTTAGGGTGCTTTTTGGCAGAACACTGCCTCTAGAAACTGTCCTCCATCTGTTTGGAGGAGGCAGATCAAAGGAAAGGGATTAGTGGGAGAGGGTCAGGGATGAACAGTAATGATATGAGGGGGTACAGAGGAATTAGGAGGCTGTGTGCTTTGGCCCCTCACTGAGCCATGGGCTTAGGAGGCAGATGGCAACTGCATTAAGTGGAGTAGAATTCAAACTGAAAGGAAAATGTCACCAAAAGGGAAGAAAAACCCACAGCTAGGAAGAGAAGGCAAAAAGTCACTGTTGTTGGCAAAAACTGTCCATGAAGAATAGCCGTGTCACAGAACTCTTGGAAGCAAGGGGCCCGGCTCTCCTAGAGCAGTCACCCGTGTGGAGAAGTGTGCCCAGTAGCATTTTTCTTCTCTATGGGAGTGGATGGAGGAGGCTGTGGACAGCAGGACCAGACCTTGTCTGGGCATCCCGCCATTTGTCAGGGCTGATGACAGAACTGTCCCCATTAGCATGCTGTCGGGTAGCAATCCTTCACTTAGCCCAGCAGGAATCTTAGGCTCAGAAGAAGTAAGATCATGGTCCTGTGGCAGCCAAAGGGCAGCATGGAACTGGCACTGGTATGGGTACTTGCTGCCTGTCCCAAACAGAAGCCTGTGCAGGAAGTGCCACTCATTCTTCCCTGTTGTCCAGAGGCAGCTATATGAGAAGGCGATTGGAACGAGCTGGGAAGAGCCCACCAAGCCTCGTTTCTAAACTGCCCACAGGTGTTCTAGGCACCTTGACGCCCTTCTGGTGCCCTGGTTGGGTACTGGAGGCGGAAAGACAGCTGGAAAGTGACATACTTTGCAGCATGTGTCATGGAAAGAGCTTGGGCTTTGGAGGCAGCCCAGGGACCCATCTGACCCCCACCCCACTTGCTTCAGCTGTGTGACCTTGGGCAAATTACATGTACTTTCCAGCCTGCTTCTTCATCTGTGAGATGCGGAGAAGAGTTCAGTCTCACAGGGTTATTTTTTTCCCCAGAATTTTATTATGAAAAATTTCAAACATATGGAAAAATTAAAAGCATTTTACAGTGAATACTCTCATGCATACCACCTATAGGCTACAATTAACATTTTAATGTACTTCCTTTTCACGTGTCTTTCCATCTAGCTACAATGTTATTTTGAAGATTAAATTAGTAGATGTTGACATGTTTAGTGCAGAGCCTGGTGCATAGCAGACACCGTTCTGAAAAGTGGGCGTTAGGGGCAGAATAGAGGTCCCAGTGGGTACTGCCTGAGACAGAGGCGGAGTTAACTTTCCTATCTCCTCCGTCTCCAGGACTTGGGTTTTCGCAGCCGGATCTCGGAGCATTTGCTGGATATTGACGTGCTTTCCCCAGTCCTGGATGGAGCCCGCTGGAAGGTAAGTCTCTCTGGGTGGTGGGCTGGGCTGGGGCCTCATTTTTTTCAGCAGTCACTTCGGAAAATCTAGAACTGAGCCCTACCAATCCCAGGGTGCATTTCTGGAAGTTCTCTCCCTTCTAATTCATTAAGGCATAGCTCTGGCTATGCTTTTGATGGGCTTCTGACCATTGCTGCTCAGTTGCTGCTATGAATTAAAGCCTTCCCCCCATATATTTATTTATTTTCCATTTATTCTGCAACCGAAAGTTGACCACCTGCTCATGTGAAAAGCTCTGTAGACAGTGGATTTCAGTGCACTTCCCAATCTGTCCCAACCATCCTTCCCAGCCCTCTACTTAGCCCACCTGCCCCCTGGTAGCTGGGTTTGCCCCTTGCCATTGCCGGAGACACCCTCCACCTCCACCACTGCTCTCCTGCATTGCTGCTTCCCCTTTTGTCCTGGCAAGCTCTTTCTCCATCTTGGAGTCCCACCTCTGACATCTTCCTCCAAGCAGTATGAGTTGTTCCTTCTCGTTTCTCCATCATTGCTTCTTGTTTTGTTTTATGGTTGTATGTCTGTCTGCCCTGCCAGACATAAATCCTGTGAGTGCATGGATGATGGTTGACTCACCTGGCGTACAAAGATGACTCAAACACAGATCCTGTTTTAAGGAGCTTCCAGCTGAGAAGATCATTTTTTTCTCCTCTGTAGGTTGGTTAGGAGAAGAGTGATTCTGGTCCATGATCACTGCAAGTTTAAGAGAACATCTGGTTTGGGCAAAATAGAAATTTGTTGGGCAAAACAATCAAGATGTTTAATAGGAACCCATCCTGAGAGCCCTTAGTGAAATTTGTGCTGGAGACAGGGTAGAGTTTTCAGGCCGATTGCATGAGTCCCACATGTTCCTCTTAGCTCTGATTGATAAAGCCTTCCTGGCCACTGCCTGCCACTAGGTCCCTGCTGGACCTTGGTCACCCTGTTGGCAGTGCTGGAGGGATATGAAGGCACAAACAAGGGCTGGTGGGATCAGTCAGGAAGGGTTTGGGACAGGTGAATTGTGAGGCCCCATTGGTGGTAGGTGAGTGGGAAAGTAACCAAATCTTTGGGGGTAGAATGGATTCTATAGCTCTGGCTCCAAAACCTGGCTGATACCAGTTACTTGGGAGCCTGAATAAAGATAGATTTCTAGGCCCTGCCTAAGACTTGATGGGGCCAGAAGCCTCTTTTTGGGTCATATTACTTGGCATAGAGCAGTAGCAGGACCTGACATGGATTTGGTTCCCACGAGGCACACCCCAAGGCAGCCAGCTCTTGCGAAGGAAGTCCCAAGCTATACCTCGGGACCCGCCTGTCAGGGTGTGGGCTACTCAGATGCTTAGATTGGCTGCCCATTCAGAGCCCTTTGCAGGGCTCAGCCTCTAGCTCTCTCCTGTCTTGCCGTCAAGCAGGGAGGTAGAGCTGGAGGGGAGACCAGCAACCCCTTCATGTGGCAGACGGAGCTGTAGATGTAGGCCCCATTGTTCCCCCTGGAGGCTCTTGCCCATTTTGCCTTGGACAGAACCAGGGCAGAGGGCCTAGAACTGAACCATACTAGTTTTTGTCCCTTTAAAATATTTTAATGCAAGTTTATTGAGATGTAATTGACATTCAATAAACTGCTCATCTATTTGTTAAGTGTACTGTATTATACTCCTTTAACATCACCACTGTTAAGATAAGGAGCATAATGAATTATAATTATTGACTGGGCACAGTGGCTCACGCCTGCAATTGCAGCACTTTGGGAGGCAGAGACGAGAGGATTGCCTGAACCCAGGCAGCCTGGGCAACTAGACGAGACCCATCTCCATAATAAGATTAAATAATTAGCCAGGCATGGTGGCGTGTACCTGTAGTAGTACACCAGAAGGATCGCTTGAGCCCAGCAGGTTGAGGCTGCGGTGGTTTCAAGCATGCTACTGCACTCCAGCCTGGATGACAGAGTGAGACTCCGACTCAAAATAAATAAATAAATAAACAAGGCATTTCATAATAAATTAGAAAAGTGGTTATAAAATTATTTCAAAGAATATAGAAGGTTCTAGACCTTCACTCCCTGCAGCCTCACACCCACAGGCAGGGACTGTGAATGGTTTCTATTAACATTTTTTACATGTCTTCCAGAAATTTTTCTTGTACCTGTAAGTACATACTCATTTTATGCTGGCTTTGGGCTATCAAAACTGCTTGGCAATATGCTCTTTAAATTTGAGACTAGACCTTTGACTTATTTCTAAGTTATTTTGTATAGATCTACCTTATTCTTTTTATTGGTTGTGTAGCCTTCTGCTGTATGAATGGACCATGATTTATTAAACTGCAGACTGAGAAACCAAAACAGGACCCTCAAGCTGCGTGAGAGTTGGGGAAATGACATCTCAGGTAGTCGTAGACCAAGAGCTTCGAACAGTATCACTTTTTCCCCTTTCTGAAGAATGCTGATGTGGGCTGCTTTCCTTGTCTAGTTCCTTTGCTTCTTGGGGTAAAACGGTCAAGGGAGTAAGTAAAACTGCCCAAAATATCCCCTGTCTGGGTATTTTCCCAAGGTATCCCCTTTTCTCTGGCAGTGGGGTTTGTTCCATTTCTCACAGAAGTAAAGAAGATGAAGCAGGAGAAGGCCTGACTTGCAGCTAGCCCCTGCCTGCCCGCCTTTGTCCTTATGGTTTGCAGCTTAGCTCCTGGAGGCCTTTCTGATTCAGGGCTCAATCCCCCAAGGTTTATTTCCATCACCCCACTTTATTACTCATTCTATGTTTTAGGGTTTTTTTGTTGTTGTTGTTATTTAGTTTTTATTTCTCTGCAATCCAACTAGACGTGGAAGGGTGTTTTAGTTTGTTAAGTGGAGTTGGCCTGTGTGTTATTTTTTTTTCTTCTTGAAAAGTGAGAGAGGGAGATACTTGGTGAGCGTGGTGGGGTCTATTACAGAAGACAGGTTGTGAGGCACACACTGAAAGGGGAGAGAGGTGGGATGGGGAAGGCCGCACGCCCTGCCATTGTCTGCAGGCTCTGCCCAGGCTGATGCGATGAGGAGTGGCAGCCCTGGCAGGGAGCCCTTCTGCTGCAGGCACAGGAGCTACTCACCGGCAGCATTTCTATTTTTAATGTAATTTGGGGGAGCTGGGTTTAGTTCAGGCCCTGCCCTTCCTTGCCCATCCAGATGGCATAGTCGGCCACAGCTGCTAGGGCTCAGGCCGCCAGTGGAGAGGTGTGGGGGGCTGTGGGCACAGGGCTAGGGACCCCACTGGGGAAGACAGAGTGAGCTGTCTTCTGCCCCATCTCTCCTGTTGACCCTGCGTCCCAGAACAGACGGGGCTCCTGGCGCTGTGACAGAAGGAGTGCACGTCCTAGGATGGGGACTGGCACTGGCAGAACCTTTTCTTTTTTTTTCACCTTAGGCTCAGAGAGAGGGAGAGGAATGTGGGAAGAGGAGCTGATGTATGTGGCATACCTTCTCTGGGCCAGGAGTTGAACTTTGTGTCTATGAGCTAATTCAATCCTTACCAGGAACCTTGTGAACGGTGGTTTTCTATCCCATGTTACAGTGGAGGAGACAGACTTCCCAGGTAGAAAGTGCTGGAACACAGGGGCAACTACACTACTGAACAAACCCCTACCAGAAATATTAGAAACTACCAGGAATAGTTCCCTTTTTTTCTTTTTCTTTTTTTGAGTTGGAGTCTCACTCCGTCTCTCCAGCTGGAGTGCAATGGCATGCTCATGGCCACTCCAGCGTCGACCTACTGGGTTCTGGTGATCCTTCCGCCTCAGCTTTCCAAGTAGCCAGAACTACAGGTGCATGCTACCACGCCTGGTTAATTTTTAATTTTATCGTAGAGATGAGGTCTCGCCAAGTTGCCATGGCTGGTCTCGAACCTGCGGGCTCAGGCAATCCACTCACCTCGGCCTCCCAAAGCGCTGGGGTTACAGGCTGAGCCACTGAGCCTGGCCTTTTTTTTTCTTTTTTAACCAGCTTGCTCAATTTGCCTAGACACCTTAACTTTAAAATGGTAATTTGGGTTTTTTTTTTTTTTTTTGATAAATGATGTAGTTTCTGACTGGGAAAGGGTCATCATTATCTGTTGATGGGGACCTGTGTGCTCAGGGGTACCTGGAATAGAGCAAAGGAGCACTTTGTCTTCCTTCCCAGGCACCGGGGAGTACCTTTTTCATCTGGGCCATCGCTCTTTCTTATTCCACCAAGATGCCATCTCTCCAGGACTCTTCCTTTCTAATGTGTTAGTCTTCTGCCTTAGTTCTGCCCACTTAATTTCAGCACCCTTGTACATCACTGGCACTGCTAATCCGCTCCTCTGTGGATTTGTATTCATGGATATCTCTGCTTTCTCTCTGCAATTGGCAATGCAGGCTTCCGGCAGCAGGAGGTGGGATTTCCTTTTTGTTGTGTGTTCTCTTCATTCTTTGGCTTTTGAATCAGCATACAGTGGCTTCCCATCTGCCTTGTCCTCCCCAGGCCAGCAAGGCCGCCCAGGGAACAGCTCAGCTGTGGTCCTGGTGCTTAGCTAGAACTCGGGAAACTTCATCATACCATAGACAGGACTTCTGTCCTGTGTCCTGTATGGTCTCCATCCTTTGGAGAGCCACCTCCCGGGGCTTTCTCCTAAGCGTGAGAGTCAGCAGGAGGGAGGAGGTACCCAAGTGCAGGTCCCTCCCATACATATTTTTTTGCTGCTTCTTGCCTACAGACCCAGGGCTTAGGAAGAGAAGACAAGGATGACAGCCAGTCCAGCCAAGATGAGCTGCAGAGCAAGCAGTCCCAAGGCTTGGAGAGGTACAGTGCATGGAAGGCTGTCCCTAGGAACCTGAAGTGTGGTGTGCCTGCAGGGTGCTGTGGACTTGGGTAGAATTCCTGGCTTTGGTGGTCAGCATGGCTCAGTGTGCTCCTGCCTAAAGGCAGGAGATGAACTGGCTGAATGGCCTTGCAAGGTTTATGTGTGTGTGTGTGCCTGTGTGTGTATGTGCATATTCCCACAATGTGTGTGTGTGTGTGTGTGTGTGTGTGTGTGTGTGTGTGTGTGTATGGGCAAACCCTCTGACTCTGTGCCCAGATGGGAATGTGAAGTGTCGCTGAGTGTATTTGGCAGGACTCTGTGCACCATTTTGGGGCCAGGGCTCTGTCCTCTTTATTGGATTGGGTTGATTAAGCCAATGTGTGTGCCTAGTCACAGACCAGGGCTGAAGTAACAAGTAACCTTCTGGAGGTTGGGGGCAGCCATGCTGGAGGGTTGGTACTGCAACTCAGAGCTCTGAGGTGAGGCCCTGCCCCATCAGAAATGGCTTCAGCTAGCTCTGTGCATGTGTGTGAGATTGGGCACCCAGCTTCTCAGGCCTGAGCCCTGGGATAAGGGCTGCCACCTTGGAAGGGGAGAAAGAGTGCTCATTCCTCTTCTCGACCTGAAAAAGCTATCAGAGACAGCTTCATGCGTCTTCTATAGTCTGACCACTTGAATTTGGCTTCTCTTTCTCTCCCCATTTTCCACTCAGTTCTTCCAGTCCTCCCTGGCCCTGGTGAGGGTGAACCTGGGGATGGGCACACTTGTGAGTGTGTCTGACTCTCACTCCTGGACCAAGCAAATGCAGCACAGGGACCTAGGGAACCTGACTGTAGTCCAGACCAAAGGAGTGCTCGGGAGGCAGGCCTTCCTGCATGTGAGCGGGTCTCCACGGGTGGGGTGCAGGGACTGGGCCCGGCCTTGGGGACAGGTTGACTTAGGTCCACATACCACACTTCCTGGTTCTCTTCCTGCTCTCCAAATGGAAGGCCTGACAGCTGCCCTGCATGGCTTGACCAGCTTATCTCCTCCACTTCTGCACAGGGGGCGGCTCCAAAGACCCCTTCACAGCCAGGCCACTGAAGAAGGGCCTCTGCAGGCCCCTGACAGGCAGCCTGAGCAGAAGGAGGCAGTGGAGCCTGGGGAGGCCTCCGTGGCTAGCCCCAGCCCCAGCCCACCAACTTCCCCCCAAAGGTAAGGCTGAGCGGAAGCACCCCTAGGCAGTGGCGCTCCTCTGCATGTAGTGGGTGTGTATGCTGGTGCTGAGAGATACAGGGATGGGTGGGCGGAGACAGAGGGGAGAACCAGGGCGTGTTGCTGCCTAGGCAGCCGTGGCAGCAGAGGCTTTGCCTAATGTCCCATGGGAGCCGGGGGTGAGGAAATCTGCTTCTTCCTATTCCTCAGTCTACACCAGAAATTTTGGGCACAGTCTGATTAGAAACTTTTTTTTTTTTTGAGTTGGGGTCTTACTCTTTTACCCAGGCTGGAGTGCAGTGGCACAATCACAGCTCACCACAAGCCCCGACCTCCTGGGCTCAGGTGATCCTTCCACCTCAGCCTCCCAAGTAGCTGGTACTTCAGGTGCACACCACCACACCCAGCTAGTTTTTTTATTTTTTCACTATGTTGCCCAGGCTGGCCTCAAACTCCTGGGCTCAAGCAGTCCTCCTGCCTCAGCCTTCCAAAGTTCTGGGATTACAGGCATGAGCTACCATGCTTGACTGGGAACTTAGGAACTCCTAAACAAAGAGTGGTCTCTTCTGTTCCATCTGCCTCCCTACCAGGGGTCAGGGCAGAGACTGCTGCCACCCTGGCTGCTCCATTACTTCCAGGAGAACCATTTTTCTTAGTCCTTCCCTACCAGTACTCCCCTTTCGGTGGTTGTCCCACTTCTAGACATTCAGCAAACCCAACCAGAACCCTGTTGTATGCTGGCCCAGGGAGAGGGAGGTGCAGAGCCCAGGGCTCCCTGAGATCAGCTGAGAGGACCTTTGCGTCCCAGCCTGGTCCAAAGCCTGGTGGACATTTGCTAGTTCTTCAGTCCTGCAAGCTGGAGAAAGATGCTGGCCTTGGAATTCATTGAGTTGGGACAGGACACTGGGGAACTGAGCCAAGCTGTAGTGATGTTCAGTCTGCAGCATCCACAGAATACCTGCTGTGTGTGGAGCTTCTCCTTGGGTGCTGTGACCATCCTGTTTTCCACTTGGGGTGGGAGTTTTGGTCTTCAGTGTAAACAACTCAGGCAGAGGCGGGGGTGGGAGGTGTGGGAGGGAGGTTTGAGATCCCAGGTAGGGAAACTGTGTTGGGTCTATGTCTCTTGTCCCCAGCATAGCTGCCTGACCCTAGTGGGGTACATTCTGAGCCTCTTGCCTTCCTACTGGCTTTAACACAGTTGCTTCCTTATTGCCGTCAAGGGAGCAGGTCCCAAGCCCACCTGCCACCCTCGAGAGGGGCAAGGAGCAGTGCTCCCAGGCCGAGGAGCTGGGCCCTGGGCAGGAAGAGGCAGAGGAGCCCAAGGAGAAGGTGGTGGCCAGCCTCACCCCGCCGATCTCTCCAGAGGTGTAAGGGCCAGTTTTATATGTCTGTCCTGTGCCCCTCTGTGTGTGGATTGCTTAAATACCTGATCACTCTTGAGTGGTGGGAAGGGATGCTGGCTCTGGCCCATTGGGTAGAGGGCAGGGGAGATTTAGTGTATCCTTGGTGCTTTGTGTACAACCTTGAGAACCCCACCCAGCCATCATCGGTCCTGGGGTTAGGTTAAGTCCCCGGGACTTCTGGTCAGGACTTGAGGTAGAAGGGTGGACAAGGGGGTACCTCCTGCCTCATTAGCAGAAACCTGCTAAATCATCCCACCAAGCACTCTTTTTCTCTTTAAAAATTTGTGTTGAGGTATTTATCTACACTGAGGGACACAGATCTGGCTTGTACAGTTCAATGTGTGTTTACATCTGTGCATACCACATAACTGACACTCAGATCAGACATGGTCCATTGACATCCTTTGAGGTTTCCTCATGTCCCTCTCAAGCCACCAGCCTGGGGCTCCATTGTTCTGACTTCTAGCCCATAGATTTGTTTTTCTAGTTCTCTGCCTTTGTATAAGTGGAACTACACAGTGTACAGGATATATCTTTTTGTGTCTAGGTTTAAAGCTCAACATATTTTTATGATTCACGTATGTTGTTCCACCTAGCATTTTTTTTTTTTTTTTGAGTTGGATTCTTACCCCTTCACCCAGGCTGGCATGCAGTGGCACACTCATGGCCACCCCAGCATTGATCTGCTGGGCTCAGGCAATCCTTCTGCCTCAGCCTTTCAAGTAGCTGGAACTACAGGTGCGTGCTACCACGCCCGGCTAATGTTTTGATTTATTGTAGAGATGAGGTCTCACCAAGTTGCCTAGGGTTCCTTGAGATCAGCTGAGAGGTCCCAGGCTGTTCTTGATCCCGTGGGCTCAGGGAATCCCCTCACCTCAGCCTCCCGAAGTGCTAGGATTACAGGCTTGAGCCACCGTGCCCAGCCTTACACCAAGCATTTCTAAAATTTAGAAATCATTTCCCTTTTCTCCTCCCATTCTCACCTCCCCCCCCCACTGTTTTTTCAGATGAATAAATTGGGGCTCAAAGAGGTGAAGGAATTTGCTCAAGATCACATTGCTAGTCAGTGGCAGCATTAGGACTAGACTCTAGTCATTTGAGCTCTACACCACTCACTTTTAACCTGCAACCCTTGTTCTTTTTCTCTGCATGGAGAAAGGTGCCTGCATTTGTACATTTTCCCTCTGTGAACAGAGCCAAGAACAAGGATTTGGGGCAGACTGTTGAGCAGAGACTGGTTCATGCACTGATTACTCGTGGGAAGTGTCACCGAGAGCTGGCGGGGACATGAGCTCACAGTCTCATGTCGTCACCGTAACATTGCAGGGATGATTTAGGGAAGAGGTAGCCACGTTTTTCAGATGGCAAAATATCCTGCAATGAAAACTGACCGGACAAATTAGGTACCTTTCCCGTCTCCTTGGTAGCTGTGGGCAGCCAGATCAGGATGCTTTCTATGAGGACAGGAGGCAGGTGTGGTTAGAGAGAGGAAAATGTGAACAGAGGTCAGAGGGGTGTCTTCCCAGGCCCTCTGGAGGGAAGTCTGGGCAGTAAGCCCTCAGGCTGGGGCCTCGACTCCCCGGCCCCTCCCGGCTGCCTTGGCTGATTAATCTCCTGACTTGCCGTTTCTCCCCTGATTCCCGTGAGGTTGCTCCTGCTGGGGTCTCAGAGACACTTTCCTTGACCATGCGCTTTCAATTTACACCATACCCCCAGGAAATGCCTTCTGTTCCTTTCCTGAGTCTTTTCAGGCCCCATAACTTCCCTGTTAATAATCTTTAGAGCTGCATTAGGAATAGATTGGTTTTCTGGGTTGGGTGGGGAGTGATTCTGTGTCTGTCAGCTTGCAGAGATGTAGTCAAGCTGAATCTGAGGGGTAGGGGCAGAGAAGGCTCAGGGGAGCTGGCAGGGCCAGGAAGCAGCACATGCCACTCATTGTGCGTGCTTGTGGTCAGAGACTGGGGCTGGGAAGCAGGAACATCCTTCTTTTCGTCATCCCAGTGTCTTTCATGAGGATTTGCAGAAAAGAGGGTGAATGAATTAAAACCACCAGGTGAAGATGAGAGGGACAAGGTCTCCAATGACTGTCCCAGCTTTAGTGGCAGTACACTCATTTTAGAATGTTCCTGGATGCCATTCCTCCCTCCTTCCATCCACCCTCTCCTCCCTCCCTCCCTCCCTCCTTCCCTGCCTTCCCTTCTGCTCTCCTTCACATGGCTTTGAGCTATTTGGTGGCCAGCCTGGGGTGTTTATGTCCTACAGAGCCTTTCCTTTGGCACTCACTGTTGGAAACTGGGTCTCAGTGATTCTGATAGCCGAGGAGCTGGCTTAGAAACCAGAGCTGCCTCTTCTTCCAAAGCCTTCCACTTCCCAATCGCCTCATGGATCTTTCCAGCATTGTGTTCTGCTTTGGACCTGAGCTAGGTGTTTAGGATACTAGACCTTTAAAACTGGGTGAGGAAAAGAGGTCTATTGAAAAACAGCCCTGCTTGCCTGCATGCCAAGTGTGCAAGCCAGCTCACTGGTGCATGTAACCTGGGCACACGCCACCATGCAGGCCCCATCTTCCCACAGCATCTGTCCCTAGGGCTCCACATAGCTCTGCAGTCCACAGGAGAGCGAGACATTAAAAGGTACCATCTCAGGGAAAAAAGATGTTTTCAGCCAAGGTTGGAATGAGTTGGAGGGTTGATGAGGCGGAGAGCTGCAGGAGGAGGCTCTTTTGAGGGCAGGATTCTCAGAGGAGGTGGCAACCACGTCTCTTACATCTGTATCAGTTGGCCTGCGCCAGGGGACTGAGAGGAAGCAAGGCTTTGGAAACAGGGAGGAGATGGAGTTGGGAGCAGAAGAGAATTGAAGGCATAACTCAAGGCTTTTTCTTGCTCAATTTATGATTTTAGGGAAGAAGAAAGGAAAGGTCTTACTGTAATTAAGAGACCTCAGTAGCTCTTCTGTATTCCTTTCTTTCTGGTCTCAAGGGGCTGCAGTGGGATTCCTGAATTCTTTTTTTCCTCTGCTGTTCTCATCTGATCCCGCCCGCTGCCTTCCATTTGCTATGGTGTTCAAGCTGGAGGGAGATGGGGTTCTGAGCCCCCAGCAGGGAGGACTGGCTCCCCAGTTGACTCTCACCCAGCTGTCTTTGATTTGGGTCATGCCCATGCCTTCCCACTGAGGTCGACTGAGCCACTGTGCCAGCCTTGCACCAGCCTGAGCACTGCATGAGGAGGGCTGTGGCTGTGTGATGAGACCAATTTCTAATGTAAGCTCGAGGGGCTTGGAAATGCAGACAGGTTTTGGCCTTTAGAAAAATCACTCTGAGAGGTGAGGTGCTTCGTCCTGCTTATGCTTTCGTTGCTCAGCATGTTCTGAGTTTCTCTTTGGGTGTTTTCTTCAAGAACCAGAAAACAAGCAAAATAGCAGTTTTTATCACTTTATAGACATCTTTTTAACCAATACCATCGTTCCCTATCTTTCCACCCATCTATGTATCCTGGTTAGCTCTGAGTTTTTTATGCTCATTTCCAAACACTGAATTAACTCTAAGCAGATGAAAACATGCCGTGGGAAGGTAGGGACCAGGGCACTCCTGTTCTTGCTCACAGTTTTGGCTTAGGGAAGCATCTCCTCCTGGCTCCTCTGGTGGTGCGAGAGGGGAGTTTCCTATTCCTGGGCCTCCATGGACGGTTGTAGGCCTCAGGGCTAGGAAACATGCTGCTATTTCTCCCAAGGGCTCGTGTATGTTGGCCTCTACTCTGGAAGGCAGAGAGCAGTCTCTGGGGCTTGTGCCCAGATTGCTGGCACGAGCCTCAAGTACCAGGCAGATCCCTAGCGGGGAGGTCGTGCAGGGCCATGAGCCATTCTGGGAAAGAGTCCTTTAGGGACGGAGCATCACTCTCTCCCTGCTGCTGCTAGCTCTCAAGCCACAGCTTCACGTGTTGACTTTGGGCCATACCTACCCAGCCTGCTGAGAACCTACTATGGGCTGCCTTTCTCCCTAGGCTCTTGGGACCTTAGACAGCCACAGTGGCACTTGTCCTATAAAGCAAATGTTGACTGTGTCTTACTGCCTGCCCTTGGGTGATCTGATTTGCATATATGACTCCTGATCATGGGCCCTCCGTTAGAATTCTGTATGTGATGTTCTGTATGCTTGTGAACCTTGATGCCAAAAGGTGGGTGGACATTAAAACTAGTGATATGTTGTTCCCTTCCCATGGCAGGCGATCCACAGAGCTTGTGACAAAGCAGCTCTCAGAGGCTGCACTAAAGTCTGTGGAAGAGGCAGTGGCCCAAGAACTCGAGCAGGACCACAGGCTGCTGCTGGAGTCAAAGCAGGAGAGGATGCAGCAATTGCGAGAGAAGCTACGGCAAGAGGAGGAGCAGGAGATCTTCCAGCTTCACCAGCAGAAAGAGAAGTCTCTCAGGTCCTGGCTTTCCCCTTAGTCTTGCTCCCCAGGACCTTGCAGGGGCATGGGGAGCGAGGGATACCCTCTTCCCCAGAGACCCCCGGGATGCCCATGGTGCCACCAAGACCACTCCTGGAAACTTACCCAGTAGTTTCTGTTTATATATCATTGGTTACCACTAGTTGCAAAGGAGACTGGGAAATGCAGTCCTTTTGCTAGCCGCTTTAGCTGTTAGAATAAAACCAGGATTTTGTTAGTGAGGAAGAGAAAGAGAATGGATATTGAGATGGTAATGAGCCATCTGTCACAGTCCCAGGATGGGAAAGGTACTACAAAAAGGTGTGAACGTATTTCATTTACTTGGCAGTTTAACTAAAGGCTAAATCTTGTCATCTTGGACAGAACATCCAAGAGTGGTAGAGAATTATTATTTTTAGATCATACACAGCAAAGTATATATAAAACATTTATGCTTAATTTAGAGAAAATAAAACAGAATACCAACATACAAGTGCTGGGAGAGTCAAGGCAGTCTCTCTCATTAGCTCATTGCAGGATCTGCTGACCCAGGGTCTGTCCTTACATCACACCCTTTGAGTCCTCTGCCAGGGAGCATCCCGAAGAACAGACCTCCCCACAGCATCTTCCTCTTCCACCAGCTAAAGAGTGGGGCAGGAGCCCACCCAATAGGATGTGACTCAGCTAACCTTAAGACGTAGCTGTTCGTTGGAGGAAATCCTGGTGGTATCTCCCTGCCAACCATCCTGCTCCTCCCCTCTTCCTGGATACCCTAGGCTTGACTGACTGTGCTTTCCAGCCCTCTCCCAGAGGGGCCTTCTAAGCCCTTTAGGTGTGATGAGGACAAGCATGCCAAAAGTTCAGGGCCTACAACATGGTAGTTGCTTTTTTTTTTTTTTGAGTTGGAGTCTCACTCTATCACCCAGACTGAGTGCAGTGGCCGCTTCCGGCCACCGTAGCCTTGATCTGCTGGGCTCCGGCGATCCTTCCGCCTCAGCCTTCCAAGTAGCTGGAACTATAGGTGCGCGCTACCACACCTGGCTAATTTTTGATTTATTGTAGAGATGAGATCTCACCAAGTTGCCCAGGCGGGTCTCGAACCCATGGGCTCAGGCAATCCACTCACCTTGGCCTCCCAAAGCACTGGGATTACAGGCTGAGACACTGAGCCTGGCCAGTTGCTCTTTTTAAAGTATGGTCTTACTCTGTTGTCTAGGCAGGAGTACAGTAACATGATCATGGCTCACTGCAGCCTCAACCTCCTGGGCTCAGGCAGTCTTCTCACCTCAGCCTCCCAAGTAGCTAGGACACATGCTGTCACACTCATCTAATTTTTTAATTTTTTGTAGAGATGAGGTTTCACTGGGTTGCCCAGGCTGGTCTTGAACTCCTGGGCTCAAGCATCCTCCTGCCTCAGCCTCCCAAAGTACTGGGATTACAGGCATGAGCCACTGCAAAGGCTTTCTGAGAGGTAGACCATCCTCCTCTCTGGAAGCCATAACTGATCTTGTAACAATTATTTCTTAATGAGAAGGCAGGCAGGCTGGTCCTTAGATTATTTAGTTGTATAATGAAGAGATTGGACTTACCCTCCAAAGTCTCTGCCAGCTCTCATATTGTGTTGCTGTGTGTAATATTTAGCCATACAAAGAGAAGGGGTTTCTGGGGAATCTAGAAAGAAATATTTTTATATAACTCGGTTTAAAAAAATAATAATAATAGAAGAGAGCAGTGGCATTGATAGCTTGAAATAGAAAATGATCCTAAATATTTTTTGGTTTTAGAATTAGCTTTAGAAGCTTTTCAAAGAAATTATCTTCTGAATCCTGTTTTACTTAGGCTTGAATTCCCTACGTGCACAACACACACCTCATGGTCATGTGGGGTTGTGTGGGGAGTTACCAAAAAAGGATGTGGCTTATATAAGCAGGAGTGTCGGCTTAGGATGAAATGGTCACTGACTTTGGTCTGTAAATAAGACATCTTATTTATTAAGTCAGGGCTTGCTTATAGTTTGGGCCTGGATGATGCTGTTCAAATTCAACACATATTTATTGGGCACCTACCTTATGTCAGCTAATATATTTGATATGTGGGATATAATAGATTTTAAGACAAGATTCTTTGGAAAAAATTCAAGACATGCAAGGAAAACAGAGATACAAATAATTAATGATGATGCCATCTGATACATGCTGCAGAGAAGCATGGATAAAAAGAAAGTCCACATATAAAGTGTGATGGGAACAGAAAAGTGCATTGAACTTGGAGGAAGTTGAAAAGACTTTCTGAGAGGAGGGAGCCGGGTGTTGAATGATGGATATGGGTTTGTCAGATAGGAAAGGGAATTCTGGGCAGAGGAACTAGCATGAACAAAGGCCAAGGAACAAGAGCGTGGCAGGATTTAGGGATGATGACATGTCTGATGTGCCTACGTCAGAGTCTGTAGGGTGGAAAGTGAAAGAACGTGGAGCCAGGCGAGTTGGGGACTGTGTCTGTCCTTCAGTGGATGCTGTGCTTAGGTGGACCTGTGGTCAGAGAGAGCCTTCCAAGAAGTGCTCTACTGGGGCCCTGCAGCCTGCAGTTTATTTCCCAGGGCAGAGGGGAGTTCATGGCTCCCTCGTGACCCTGGGAGGCTTTACAGGGCAGCAGCATGGACCCATAGCTGAAGTTAGACTCGTCTTTCAGGTTTAAGAAGCTTCCTGGCCGGGCTCAGTGGCTCAGCCTGTAATCCCAGCACTTTGGGAGACTGAGGCGAATGGATTGCCTGAGCCCGCGGTTTCAAGAACAACCCAGGCAACTCGGTGAGACCTTGTCTCTACAATAAATAAATAAATAAAAAATTAGCCAGGTATGGTAGCATGCTCCTATAGTTCTGGCTACTTGGAAGGCTGAGGCGGAAGGATCACCAGAGCCCAGAAGGTCGACGCTGGGGTGGCTGTGAGCATGCCACTGCACTCCAGTCTGGGCGATGGAGTGAGATGCCAACTCAAAAAAAAGAAGCTTCCTAGACAGTCTACAGGGCTGTTGGAGGCTGAGAACCAGAGATTAGACACAGGACAGGATACACCTTTGTGGTCCGTCTGACAGACTTATCTTGCTTTTTTATCTCAGTTCCCTGAAAGAGCAGCTGCAGAGGGCCACTGAGGATGAGGAGGCTCAGATGAGAGAGGAGGAAAACCAGAGACTAGTGCAACTCCGAGCCCAGGTCCAGTCCAGGGCAGAAGCAGATGAGGGCCAAATCAGGTGAGTGTGTACTGTGAGCTGCTTAGTCCTGTGGGCCACCCCAGGGTGCATAGACCCATCCCTGTTCCATTCTGTCTGCCTAGGGCTGAGCAAGAGGCTTCCCTGCAGAGGCTGAGAGAAGAACTGGAGTCTCAACAGAAGGCTGAGAAGGCCAGCTTGGAACAGAAAAACAGACAGGTGCTGGAGCAGCTCAGGGGAGAGATGGAGGCCACGGAGAAGAGCGAGCGGGCTGCCCTGAATGCCGCGAAGGAGCAGACCCTGCAGCAGCTGAGGGAGCGGCTTGAAGGGGAGAGGAGAGAAGTGAGCAGTCGATTGGGGACCTCACCCTCTGACACATCTCTGGGCCACAGAGGATGAGGAAGGGCACGTCTCAGATGGTCATGCAGACTGTGGAGCCAGCGAAGAATGGGTGTTGTACACAGATGGCATGGGAGCCTGCAAGCTGACTGTCTGGCCCGCTACTCCACTCAGACCCCCCTCGGCTCAGGGCAGGTGCCGGCCCTGGTCTCCATGGCAAGGCGGAGGATGTGGCAGGTGTCCAGAGGCTCTCCAGGGTCAGGCAGGATGGACAGTGGCCCCTGGGTGTTGTCAGTGGTGGGAGGCCATCAGAGGCCTCAGGGGGGAATGTCCTGTGGATTTGGGAAGGTTTCACAACTGAAAGAACTTCAGCCAGACCAGAGGTCTTAGACAAGGGCCCTATCTCTCTCTGAGGGGCAGCTGCAGTGATATAATCCCCCCCTACCTTTCCCTTCTTGGAATGAGAGGCTAGCAATTTAGAAAGGTTTTTCTCCCTCATCCTTCCTCCATCTGACTCCAGTCAGATGGCCTGCCTCCAGGTTAGACGCTGCAGTAGCAACCAGTCCATGAAGAACTTTTATTTTCTTTTGGTAAGGCTCGGAGCTTCTGCTATTTGACATAAGAAAACTACAGCACGTGGGAGGGACTTCACTGTATTCAGTGAGACTGTGACAAATCCTCCAGCCCTCCCTGTTGTGGATCTTATTTGGCGTTGTGAGCACCATCTGTGGACCTGTGGCCTAGCCCAAAGGCAGAGGGACAGAACAGCTAGCTGAGACTTACTGAAATGCCCATCTACTCCGGCCATCGTGTTCCTGTTTATTTGCCAATTGTATACTTTAGGGACTGAGTTATTTTGGGTGGACAAAGAGGTGCCATACTTCCCTTAGGTCCTGATCTTGAGGGGTTTGGGGGTGGTCTTCCTGGCTCTGCCTTCCCCCATGGCCAGTACCTGGCTAGCCATCCCCCTCTGCTTCCCTCACAGGCCCTTTCTTCCCTCCTAGGTGGTGGCAAGGCTAGAGAAGGAGCACAGTGCTGAGCTGGAGCAGCTCTGCTCCTCGCTGAAGGCCAAGCACCGGGAGGTGAGATACAACCAGCCCTGGCCCAAGAGGGCAGAGCATGGATATCCTGGGCCCTGAGTGTGAGCCCCAGGACAACCTTCTTAGCTGGTCACAGAAGAGCTCAGCCCATCCCTGACCACTAGCGAGCAAGCTTCCTCTCCCTCCAGGTCCCTGGGAGTAGATACTGGTCCTAGAAATGTGTCCTCTGTCACGGTAGCTCTCCTGTCCCTCTGAGGGTCACACTCCTCTGTGTGTGCTGGGCCTCCTCAGGTAGTCTGCAGCCTCCAGGAGAAGATCGGGGAAGCTGAACAGAAAGAGGAGGCCCAGCTGCAAGAAAGCCTTGGGCGGACGCAGCTGAGAGCTCAGCAGAAGGCTCACCAGGTGACTGAGTATGTGCAAGAGGTGAGTGCTGGTCTGTCTTTGATATCCATGTACACCTGTCGTGGGTTCTCTTAGAATCTGCTGAGCCAGACTGGCCTCAGAGTCCTCCAGGTTGCCTTGGATGGCTTAGCTGGGATTGGCACTTCTTCCATGTTTATGCCTTGGTTGCCTCAAAGCAAGGCACTTCTCCATCCCCATGCCCTGGTACATGTGTAGGGAGGGAGTGTTGGGGGTATGGCCGTGTGTATGTCATGGTGTCGTGCATGTGATGTGCATGTGTTGTGTGTGAGACCCTTGGGTGCAGCAGACCTCGAGTGCTGGTCCACCCTCAGTCCTGCATACTGCATCTGACCATCTGCCCTGTAGCTCAGCAGTCTCCTGCAAGAGAAGCGCCAGGAGGTGGAAAGGGAGCACGAGAGGAGATTGGACAAGATGAAGGAGGAGCACCAGCAAGTAGTGGCTGAGGCCAGAGAGCGGTACGAAGCTGAGGTAGTGTGACCACATCCATGCGCATGCTCATGTGCACCTAGCCTGGGGTCCGTCCCAGCTGCAGGGCAGGGGCAGGGGACAAACTGGCCAGGGATGGTGGTGGGAGGCTTTCCTCCCTGGTACCCTGCAGTGGTGAAGTTATTTTTTACCTTTTTATGAAAGCATGAGCAAAACCTCCCTTAGTGAGGGGTAATTCCTCTCCATCAGGCGGGCTGTACTTTCTTCTCATAGTAAAAATAGCTACCATCTATTGAACTTATGCTGTGTGCCAGGCACTGCTCTAAGCTTTTAAAAAAAACTTGTGTTATTGTAGAAATGTGGGGTACAAGTAAGGATTAACTACACAAGTAAGCAGGTAAAGTTTGGGCCTCAACTGGCTCTCACTCCCCTGGTAGTGGACCAGGTTCCCTTTGTGTTCTTACTTGCCCTCCTCCCTCCTGCCCTCCCGTGTCAGTGCCTAGCAACTGCTGATCCCTCCCTTGTGCTAATGTGATTAATGCTCAGGTTCCACTTACGAGTGAGAATATGTGGTATTCAGTTCTTTGTTTCTGTGGTCAATCAACAAGCATGATGGTCTCTAACTCCATCCAATTTGCTGTGCAAGTTCATGATTTGGCTCTTCTTTATGGCTGTGTAGTAGTCCATCATATACATGCACCACGAAGCTCTTTGTATATACTAACTCACTTAGTCCTTACCCAGCCTTAGGAAGTATGTACTGTCATTATCTCCATTTTAAAGATGAGGACACTGAGACTGGAGACTTGGAAGTAATTTTCCCAAGATCGCACCCAGCTAATAAGCAGAGGAGCTTGGCTTCAAGCCTAGACTGTTCAGCTTCAAAACCTTAAATTTCATCACTCTAATACCTTGTCATTTGGGTTAACGGAAGTTGAATGCCGGGAAATAGACTGGCAAGAGCCAAATAATATTTAGATATTATCTGACCATCTTCAGCCTTTGGCCTTCAGGTGGGCAAGTTCATTTACTTGCGTGGACCCAGGTTGGCTTGGCCTGCTCATGTTGGGGGTGAATGGTAGGTGGTTGACTTTAGCCCACAGCTGGGCCTCTGCAGGGCTATTTATAGGCTCCTGTTCCAGTGGCTGCAACCAGCATTCCAGACTCTTTCTATAATCTTTTTCAGGGCAGAAATAATGGTCCTATGATGAAATTTAGCTAAATCTCTTCCTAAACCAATTATGAACTTGTGGGAGAATAGTGTTAATTGATCAGTGTTTTCTTTCTTTAAGGGGAAATACTGTCCACATAGGAGAGTCCATGGGGGCATTCCCTTATGGCACCTGGCCGGCGTCTGCTTCAGCTGCAGGGTGGGGCAGGCTTGCTGGGGCTGCAATGGTACTACGTTTGCAACTCTCCTTCGATAGCTGGCCTTTGGGAGCTGATGGTGTCTCTGATCTTGTTGACCCCAGGCTGCTGGGCTGGGGCAGCTGTAATTTTCAGGTTGGGAGGGGCTGCTGCCATTTCCCACAGATTAGTCCACCCTCCTTGCAGGAGAGGAAGCAGCGGGCTGACCTCCTGGGGCACCTGACTGGAGAGCTCGAGCGCCTGCGGAGAGCCCATGAACGAGAGTTGGAGACTGTGAGACACGAGCAGGACAGGCAGCTTGAGGACTTAAGGCGCAGGCACCGGGAGCAGGTGAGGGACCTCGGGGGGGTAAGCCCACTGTGACACCTCCATGCAACTTAGGAAGGCTCCTGGAGCAGGTGCTGGGTCCACAGCGGGATGGAGCCAGATAGCTTCTGAGTGGGCATCTCTCACTGGCCATCTCCAAGCTGTGGCATCTTTGCTCCTTGGTTTTCTGGGCCAGGGAGCACTCCCGGGATTAGAAGCGGGGATCAGCCCCTGTAAGACCTTGGTATTGGCGCCTTTGCTTCTTCTTCCCCCCACTGGAAATAAACAAGGTGTGGTGCTTTCCTGGGACCCTGTGGGGCACATTGGGAGGAAGCCTAAGCCCAGACTGGAGCTTGTGGTTTCATATGGTGAGTTCTGGAACCTTCTGCCCCTCTTTCTGTGCTTATGTTTTCCTCTTTCTGGGCAGGAAAGGAAGCTCCAAGATAAAGAGATGGAACTCGAAACCAGAAATAAAGATATCAAGGCCAGATTGGCTCAACTGGACATCCAGGTGAGTGATCTGCAGGGCCCTTCACCTTAGAGTCACAGCTAAGTCTGCCTCCAGGAGAAGGCAGACCTGCCCCTCTGACTTGGGGTCTGCAGCCAGTCAAAGGGCTCTGTCTCTAACCCCCAGGAGCAGACTGCCCAGAAGGAGAAGCAGCAGCTGCTTGATATGCAGAGGCAGGTTGCTCTGAAGAGTGAGGTTTGTCCGCCTCTCTTGTCTCGCCTCTTCTGTTCTTCCTTCTTCTGTCTTTCTCTTCCTCTCACCTTTTGTTCACCTGATCTGTCCAGGCCCCTGGGGTTCCAAACTCTGGTGGCCAGTATTCCATAAATTGTACCACTCTGTGGACCCCCACTTGGGAACCTCAGGGAGAGGGGCTGTGATGACACAGAGACCTTTAAGCCTCCTGACCTTAGAGATGGTGGCTTCAACGGCTCTGAATTCCATTCCTTGCTTGTCCTCTTCTGGCTTTCCTGTCCTCTAGTGCTGCCTGCTCCCTACCTTCTCCTCAGTGTGTCTCCAGGTGCTGCTATCTTTCCTTCTGCCCCCAGGAGGTTAGAGCCACCCATCAGCGCCTAGAGGAGGCAAAGAAGGAGCACACCCACCTGTTGGAGTCAAGCCAGCAGCTCCGAAGAGTTGTAGCTGAGCTTCAGGCCCGGAAGTTGGAGTTGGAGTCCCAAGTGGATCTGCTGCAGGCCCAGAGTCAGAGACTGCAGAAGCATGTCAGGTGTCGTGGATGCCCTGCACTTAGCCACTGCTGGCTGCCTCCTACCTACCCTCTGGCCTCTGTGCTGGTGGACCGCGTCTAGTCGAAGCCCAGTTAATAGGGAGAGGTTGAGATCCCATCTTGGGAGCCAGGCAGAAGAGCCTGTGGCTGTTGCAACTGTGGAGGCAGTTGGGGTATCAAGAAGCTATGAGCAGCTAGGATCCTGGATTTTCTGCTCATGCCTCAACCCTGCTCAGAGACTTTGATGGGAGTGAGGAGATGGAGGTGGTCCTGGCAGTGTGCTGCCTGGCCGCTCCATCATGACATCCCACCTCAACCCTCCCCTTCATGCCCCTTTTCCTCCACAGCAGCCTGGAGGCTGAAGCTCAGAGGAAGCAGGACCTGTTGAGAGAGCGGACATTTGAGGAGAGCAGTGCTTCCCAACATGTTGAGCCAGATCTGCACGTTGAAGACCTGAGGAAATCCCTTGGGACAGTGAGCTGGGGGCTGGGGTAGAGCATCAGGAAGGTCAGGGCATTGGGGAAGGGTAGGGCATCCAAAGGGGATGGGTCTCAGAATGGGTGGGGGCATAAGGTGGGTGGAGCATTAGGAGAGTTCTGACTCTGCTCTGTGCAGGACCTGGCCTCCTGCTCTTATCATCCCAGCCTCCAGCCATCCCAGTAGGCAAATCATACCTATGAGTGAACAGTACCTGGTCATTAGCAGGGCCATCTGCTTGTCTAGGCCACTGGCGGCAGGCGGAGGGGTCTTTGGGTTCTCTCAGGCCTGCAGGGTGTCTGCTTCTGCTGCACTCAATGGGTCTTTTCTATCGTGTCTCTCTAGAACCAGACCAAAGAGATGTCCTCTGTTTCCCAGAGCAAGGAGGACTCGTCCTTGGACGAGTGAGTTCCCATAGCCCGTCCTATTTTGGGTTAGAGTGCCATGAAGGGGTGAGTGCCTGCCTATGTCACAGGGATAGGGTGAGCTGAAATGAGGTGACGGTGATCACCAGCAGGGTTTGGTTCAGCGGGGAGGCCCCAGAGGATTGAAGAATCTTCTCTGGTAAGCCAAGAAGCTGCTCCCTGTGACCTTTGACACAGCATATTGGCATCTGCTGACCTCTGGTTGAGGATCAGATTACTAGGAGTGTCTGGTCATCTGTCTAGAGGCCCCACGTGTGATGCTTTTCAGAGTCAGGGTAGGGGGACTATTAGTCGTTCACTGTAGATATTAATGGTGGCATCCCCCACATGGCCCAGCTCAAGCCCGGCAGCTCTGGCATTTGCTTAGGGTGGGTATCTACCGGAAAGTGGCTGTGTGACACAGAGCAGAGTTCTTAGAGTCTTCTGTTTTCTTTCTCCAATTCTGCTCCCTGACCTGTCCTCCCACAGCGTCCAGCATTACTTCTCTGCTGAGAGGGTAGCCCTCCGTAGCGCCAGGGAGTTCCTGGTACGGCAGAGATGTGCCATGCGGAAGCGACAGACAGCTTTGAAAGCTGCCCAGCAGCACTGGCACCGTGAGCTGGCCAGTACTCAGGAGTCAGCCAAAGACTTGCCAGGCACCATGACCATGGAAGAGATACACAAGAACCAGGAGGAGGTTAGAAGCTTGAGGAAGGCCTGCCACCCTGTGCTGGGAGAGCCTGGGGAACAAGTGGAACACTTGCTTTTGGGATCCCCCTTTTGACCATCTAGGGACTACTTGAGTGTGAGCCCTGGGGTCACATCTATACATGGCAACGCTTATAGTGCAGACATCTCTAATTTGATCCTCCCATAACATATATAATGTGCAAGGTAGTAATATTTCCATTTTCTAGGTGAAGAGTATGACTAAGGTTTTAACAATTTCAAATCCAGTGCTTTGCTTTTCCATTCTGTTATATGAAAGACTTAGTTCACACATGAAATTCTTCAGAATACACTCAGTGTTAAGGCTCTGGTTACTTCTCTGCTTTACCTCTCTGGTAGCCTAATTTGCAATGAAGAGGCAGAGGCTTTATTATTATTAGTTGGGATCACAGATTTTTGTACCAGGTGAGGATCCTGGCAGAGTGGGCTCTGTGGGTGGTGCTGTGGCACCCCTCCCTGGCCAGGCCCTCAGCCTTGTCCTCTTAGAATTCTGATGGTGTTCAGAACTAGCAACGGGGCTTGGGCCCTATTGTCCTGTGTCTGGCTTGAGGGCAGCAGAGGATAAGTAGCTGGCACAAGTGGGGGCAGGCTTCCCAGGGGTATGCACAGGCTACCCCCAGGCCCTGTCCTTGCTCTGTGTAACCCCGCTCAGTGATGGTGATGATGATAGTAACAGTAGTTGGAGTAGCGATACTCATAGCCATTTGGTTAAATTAACCATTTGAGACTTTATTAGGTGTGGGCATGATGCTCAGCATGTAACATACTCTATCTCATTTAATTCTTACTACCCTATGAAAAGCCATAGTTCTCTTTTCCAGATGAGAAACCAGACTGAGAGTTAAGTAATTTGTTCAGGATTACCCAACCAGCAAATGACAGAACTGGGACTCCAGCATCTGTGTGGTGAGGTGTTTCTCCTCCCTTCCTCCTTGGCTGCAGGAGACCAAGCACCTGGAGGAGATGAAGTCAGCCATGCGGAAGGGCCACGACCTGCTGAAGCAGAAAGAGGAGAAGCTGAATCCGCTGGAATTCTCTCCTCAGGAAGAGGTGCGGCCTGTGGCCACATAGGCCAATGTGGCCCCAGCCTCCCTCTTCTGTTCCTGGGACTGGGTGTTTTTCTTTGGTCCTGTGTCGGGAAGGTGGGCCTTCAGGACCCAGGATTGGGCAGTAGGCCCAGGCTCTTGGCGGGGGAAAATGGCAGTGGCTTCAACTCTGAGTTTGTTGAAGACACCTGTGGGCTTGGATATCTGTGCTGAGTGGTCTTGAGGACACCTGGATTCTCTTGCTGACAGTTTCTGAGAAGGGGCCTAGCCTTTGCCCTCACCCTGCAATGATAGCTAAGGAGCAGTGACCAGCGCGTCAGAAATGGATGCACATGACAAGCTTCCTCATCTGCTCTGGGGCCTTGTGGATGTTCCCCGGGATACCTGAGGCATAGATGTGGCAGGAAGGGAGGCTTAGGTGGAGAAACACGGCAGGGAGAGTTTACAGGGAGGGGAGGTGAGATTTGGTCCTGGTGGCCCTGTTGCCTGTACCTGAACGATTGGGTTTTCTTAGCCTGCCTCCCAGCCCTCTGCGAGGCAGCCTGCGTGATATACCTCCCCCAGGGTCCCTGATGGAACTTTGGACCCCAGAAGAGCCTGCTTGCCAAGGCCTCAGTTCCCACATACCAGACAGTCTTAGATTTATAGCAACAGAATTGCTATGAGAACAAAACGAGGTGGTCATGTTTCATGGATTTGCATAAGAAAACCAACTTAAAGACAAAATGTATGAAGAATGCACCCCAGTGTCCTAGAGAGGAGGAGGAAAGACATGCGAGAAGGGTCAGTAATAACCACTTCTCTATCCAGCAGGCCTCCGATGAGGAGGCTCCAAGAGGAGGCCCCGCCAAGAAGGTGGTAACCTTTGACCTCAGTGACACAGAAGACATAAGCTGTGAAAGTTCCGAATCGTGCTCCTTGTCTCACAGTGAGTGGTAGCGGTGACAGGGAAGTGAGCTGGGAGATGCAGGGGTGAGAACCACAGTATCCATGGAGGGGGAAGAACTTGGGACCCAAAGGAATGGCCTTCTTCCCTCAGCCCTGCAGAGGTAGGCCTTTGTGGGCAGGTGTCTGGCTAGCTGGGGAGGCAGGAGATGCAGTAGACACTGGGGAGGAGTGCAGACATCCAGGTTGAAAGGTCAGGACAGCCTCTAAATGCTGCAGAGTCTTGACAATTTAAGGCCTGTCCCTGCTGGCCTCATCTCATCCACGGCTTCCCGGGGGGAAGCTGTTCTGCTGCTGCTGGCCTGCACATGGGCAGAAGGGCCCTCTCCCTTTCCTTCTCTAGGGTCCGGGGCATTGCCCTGGAAACTCTTTCTCTGGCCAGCTTGTCATTTGCACTGTCCGGGACACAGAAGCCCTACCTTCCCCTGGCCCCTTCTTAAGGCAGAGGGGCTGTTGCTTGGAGGAACAGGGAGGGGTGGCCAGTAGGGTGCTGCAGTGCCAGCTGGGTCTCGGGACGTTCCAGGGTTCTGAACATGAGTCCTCCCCACCACCTTCATTTTTCCTTTCAGCCAACTTGACAGCGGGTCTCACCTTCCCCAACAAGATCCATGACTTGAGCCGCGCCCTGCATCAGGTCATCGGGGAACTGAACAGTGCCCTCAGCATGGTGGGCAGCCTCAGCACTCAGCCGCCGCCTCTCTTCACTTCCACGCTGGCTCAGTTCCCTCCCCGGGCCCCCAGGAGCACCTCCACACCCACCTACCACCCCTCCCTGGCCAGGCCCTCAGCTTCGTCCCTTGCTGCACCCATATCCACCCGATGGGCTTATAGTCCGGAACTGAGCCCCGGGCTGTCCTCCTCTGTGGCTCAAACAGTGGATGACTTCTTGCTGGAAAAGTGGCGCAAGTATTTTCCATGTACGCCTTCTTCTGGGCCCGTGTTTGGTTCTGGACGGAGTGTTTCTGTCTTCTTCCTCCTCTTCTTTTACCCTCTTTCTCCTACTCCTTTTTTTCTTCTTCCTCTTTTGTCTCCCCTTGCCTTGACCTCACAACTTTGGCATGGTCCCTTGGTCCACTGACTCTGTGGGCTCATTGGTGAAGAAGACCTTGCTAGTGGCCCTGTAGCTACCAGAGGCTCTGTGGGTTGTGATGGGGCCTGGGCTGACTGGGGCCTTTATTATGGATTCTAGAGCTCAGCAGAACCTAAAAGGACCTTATCATCACCTTAGTAGCTGTCGTCTCATGCAGTATGTTATGGGCCACATGAGGAGACTGAGGCTCAGATAGGTTAAGCCCCATGCTCCAGGGTTCCCAGTGAGTGAGTAACAAGCTGAGTTTTGACCCCCGGTCTTGGACACGTTGGGATTCTGTTTATAACCCTTTGACTGTGTGGCTCACACTGGTTTCATAGCCCTACTGAGGAATGTGAAAAGCCAGAGAAGCACAGGCATTTGAGGGAAAATAAAGTCTCTTTTCTGCCCCAATACAAATTGAAAAGCAGATTAAGTTTTAGAGATAAAATAAATAGGACCATTCCTGTGAGGCACTTCCAGCTACTGAAATGTGTCCTGCTTCTGTTGTTTGTTCTGGGGGCGTTTCCTCATCCATTTCTGGGGAGGCAGGAGATGCTGGTGACCGGTTTGCTCAGGTGGGTTCTGCTTACTGACCTCCACCCGTTCCTGAGCTATTTCTACCTTCTTCTAGCGGGCATCCCATCTCTCAACAGCAGCCCTGCCTCCCTAGAGAACAGGCTGGGTTACGTGTCTGCAAGGTAAGCCTCCCTGGGGGCTGGGCAGGTGGGACCTCTGAGGGCCACAGACCTCCTGGGCCTGTTGGTGGAAGAAGTCAGGCAGGACCCCTTGTCCACAGAGCTGCCCATGACTTTCCGGGGTCTGAGGTGCCCCCACACTGCCAAGGTTCCAGTGCGGGCAGGGCTGGGCTTACCCAACCGGCTCTGTGAGAAAGCTGCCCTGTGTCACCTGTGGGGAGAAATCTACCCCTGATGGGACCCATCCCTGCCCCTTCCCATGGCCCCTCCAGCCCCAGCGTCTGGCCTTTGTCTTTGCCCTTGAGCTCTCATGTACTTCCTATGGCTCCCTTCTTCCCCAAGTCCTGCTGAGCAACATCTGGAGCGAGAGACACCCCGTGGGGGAGACAGACGGGCAATTATTTAAACCTGTTACTAATTTCCCATTCATCTTATTTCTTGCCAAATGTATTCCCCACTCCCCCACTCAGGCCCCCAGCCATGAGTATCCCCCACCATCCCTTTGGCCTACTTGAGAGCTGACGCTGAGCGAGCATTAAGTCGATAGAGGGATGCTCTTTGCTAATGAGACTGGCTGGGAGCAGGCAGAGATAGGAGCTCAGAGCCCCATGTCAGTGACACACACCCGGGAAGGGGGCGGAGGGCATCCACCAGCCTCCCTTTTGGGACCTATTCTGGGGGGGCAGCTCTTGGCAGTTCTGGAAGGGAAGCTTTGAATTGCTGGAGACCCCAAAAAAGCTGCAGCCAGTAGTTGAGAGGATGAGGGAGGAGGCGATGCGCTGTCCCCGTCCTGTGGCGCCGCCTCCCTCTTCCTCTCCTGTATGTTCCTTCTCCTTCCCAGTGAGCAGCTCCGCCTCATGCAGCCCTCCCGTTCCCGCGTTCCCCAGGCGGGCAGCACCGACTATCAGCGCATGATAGATGAAAACCGAAAGTGGCTGGAAAGCCTCAGGAATGACCCCAAGTTGTATCCTTGTGTCTGGTTCCCAAACCCAGGCCCCTTCCTGCATCCGGGCTGTCTGGGCTGGGCTGCAGGACCTGTGCTTGTGTCCTGGGCGCATATCAGGATCCCTTTCATGGCACAGCTGACTACGGAGTTTTCCTTCATCCCCTGGCCAGACATCTCTTCTCAATGCCGAAGCCAACAGCCACTCGGGGCCTCCTGCAGCTGGGCCTGGATGAGAGCAACAGACTGAAGGTGTATCGCTGTTGAGGCCCCGGGCATGGACTCTGGGGCAGCTTGGCCTCTCCTTCCCCCAACCAAGTGCCTGAGGAGCTGCCTGCACTTTACTTCAACTGATACAGCATTCTCCTGTCCCCTTTGCCACCTACCCCTCCCAGGACTGGGAGGAGCCATCGGGGACCAGGGGTGTGAGTGAAACAGTAAAACCACACACTCTGACCATATAACCTATCTCTGGCTGAAATGTGTGGACACGAGCTCCTGCATCGACATGGCAGACTGCTGCTGTGTGGCAACCAAGGGGCGTCGGACGTGAGCATCTTGGGAGGAAGGGTGGTAATCAGAGGAGCTGCCTTCTGAGTCCAGGAGTCCCTTGGCCCTGCAGGGCTGCTCGGAGCTACCATGAAGATTGTGTGTATGGTTCTCAGTTCATCAGGACAAAGCCCCCCAGCCTGCGTGTGCCCTAGGGCCAGGCTTTTCTGGGCCCACATCAGGCTCTCCAATACCTCAGCTTCAGAGAGCAGACCCTTACCTTTTCCTCTTTTTTTTTACTGTCTCCTTTCTTGAGCAGTCCATCTCTTTTTGACTATCTCAGGATTGGGCTCAGCAGCCCAGAACCCTGCTGAGGGTTGCTGGGGGCTGTCCCTCTGTGCACCGTGCTTTCCTCAGGGACTGTCCTCAGGAGTGTCCCCACCTCAGGACTCCTTCCAGAGCCATCCCAGCTAGAGTCTCTGGTCTCAAGTACACAACTTCTCCAGGAAGCCAACAAGCCATAGGAAAAGACGGGGATGGTTTCTGGTCCTCGCTTTGGTTTTTCTCTTTCTAGACCATCTGGCTCCTTGTTTCTGCCTGTCTTTTCTACCGGTGCCTCACGGCCCCTGACCCCACCGCTGCCTCTCCTCAGGCTGGTGGCGAGGGGCTAGACTGGCGCTAGGCCCTGGCCATGGGGGACTTGTACCAGTTGGAACTTCTGCCATCCTGGCAGAGCTTCCAGCAGCCCTCCTTCCCGTTAGCCAGCTCCTTGGGGAGGCTGCAGGGGATGTTCTCTGACATCTGTCCCATGGTTTAAATAAAATGCCTCTATTTTTCTTATCTTGATGCTGTGGGGTTGCCTTTGCCTTGCTAATACATGGAAATCAGCTCCCACCATCCCCCTACTCATTTCTTTGTTGTAGAATAAGAAACTGCAATCCAACTGGCTGTTTTACCCCCTGGATACCTTGTAGGCATTGGCCTACCACACAGAAAAGTCCATTTTGTCATTTGGCTCATTCTGTGTGTTTTGGGAGTAGCTTATGAGGTAGAACCCACTTTGGCAACAATCCTGTGTTTTCTGCATCAGTTAATTATCTGCAGGTCCATTTTCTACAAGGCAGTTGTGTGAATGTGTCTCCTCTTTGGAGGCCTTTGCCTCCTTCCTGAGAAGGAAGGAGGAAGTAATTAATATTCATGGAAAGCCACTCTGGGTGAGATCTGATTTAATCATCACAGCAATGCAGATATTGATAAAGATATTTTCTCCATTTTTATGGATGGAGAAACCAAGGCTCAGAGACCTTTAAGTGCCTGGGGTCCCCTGTAAAGCAGCTGAACTCTCTGCGTGTGAACCCCCACACTCCATCCCTGCACCCCCAAGAGCACCCTCTGCTACCCTCCCTACTTCCCCACCTACCAACTGGAGACCCCTAATGCCATTTCCCAAAGGTCAATTGGCTCCCCCGCCCTATGCAGACAAACGAAAGATAAGCGCTCCCCTTCCGCAAAGTCCCTAAGCTGGCAAAGTTAGGTGGTTTTTTCCTGCTCCAGTGGTATGAGCACCCTAAATACACTCTTGGATTTGTAGCAACAGAATCACTAGGAAAACAAAGTGAGAAGCCAGGTTCCATGGGTTTGCATAAGAAAACCAACTTGCAGACAGAACATATCAAAGAACACAGCTCAGTGACAGGCAGAAAGGAAATATGGGGGGGGGGGTGGAGGGGAGCAAACTTGTGCTTGTAGAATGCCTTTTTGTGCTGGGTACTTTTTCATGTGTTGTTGTTTGTAATCCTCACCTTATGAAGTTGGTATTTTACATGTGAGGAAAATTAGTTTCAGAGAGGCCGGATCACTGTAGCCCAAGGTCACACACCTGATGATCCTGTATTTGAACCTAGATCTCTAAAAGTTGAGTTCTGTGAACCATGCTGTCCTGTCAGCATCTCCTGTCCTCCTGGCTCACAGAATAGCCCTGGCCAGTGTGGTATGAGGACCTGGGTTCCAGGAAGGGGGTGGCTTCTGGTTGGGGGAGCCAAACCTTGGACCAAGGGTTACAAAAGGACTTTTTCAGAAGACTTCACAATTGTACCACCCCTCCTCTCATGAATTTTAGAATTTAGCTGGGGAGATTAGAATCATAGACTCTTGGAGCTGAAAGATGCCATATTAGTCTGTTTTTACTGCTGCAACAAAATACCATAAACTGGTGAGGTTTTAAACAACAAAAACTTATCTCTCAAAGTTCTGGAGGCTGAAAATCCAAAATCAAGGCTTTCGGGTTCATAGATGGTACTTTCTAGCTGTGTCCTTACTTAGGAGAAGGGTAGAACTCTTGCTCTCTTCTTTGTCCTATAGGGGCACTAATTCCATTCACGAGGGCCTCACTTTCATGTCCTACTCACCTCATATAGTCACACTGAGGCTTAGGTTTCAACATATGAGTTGGGGTAGGGGAGACACAAGAATATCCAGTCACTCATGGTTTACAGTAGAGGAAGGGGCCCAGAGAGGTTACAGGAGTCACCCCAAATTGCCCAGGCTGTGTGGCAGAGGTGGGACCAAACCAAAGAGTCCTAACATCCCTGCCTGGGGCTTTAGAAAAGAGTTGTTTTTTTTTTTTTTTTTATGAATGGATATATGTTTTTAATAAGCTATACGTTCACATGACTCAAATTCAAATGGTATAAAAATCACGCCATCCATGAGCGCTCCTTGGAGGTAACAAATATTACCAGTTCCTTCTGGAGAATTTATGCAAATATAAAAAAAGGAGGGACACTATTATGATTCTCTTCCCCTTTGCTGGAAGAGTATGGCATTGCTAACTTAGGATGGGACGATTGCCCAAAGTCCTGTGGTGAAATGTGTATTGACTGTTTTCTTAAGGGAATGGTATTGGGAATGTTGATAGACTGCCCCGCTCCCCTCTCTCCCCCCCCTCAAAAACCTTCCACACAAAATAGCAGTGTGGGGTGTGGGGAAATAGCCTTAGTCTTAGGACATCTGGGTTTACTTTTGAGTCTGCCACCTACCAGCTGTCACCTGCACAAGTCCTTTGTGGTCCCATGTCTTCTGTGGCCAAAAGCTGTAAGCCTGAATCCACACTCCAGAGATAAAGCAGGGTGGCTGCCTCAGCTTGGGCAGCGCTGAGGGGTTTGCCTTGCGTGGGGAGTTGGCCTCAGCCAGAGAGACGTTGGAAGGCTGAGATACGGTGGGGACAGGAAGGGTGCTGAGAGGGATTGCTGGTCTTTTCACCTGTTTGTTGGAGTTGTGGGGAAGTGATGGTTAAGAAATGAAGTACTAGCCGGGCTCGGTGGCTCAGCCTGTAATCCCGCGCCTTTGGGAGGCTGAGGTGAGTGAATTGCCTGAGCCCGCGGGTTCGAGACCCGCCTGGGCAGCGAGACCTCATCTCTACAGTAAATCAAAAAATCAGCCGGGCATGGTCGCGCATGCCTGTAATTCCGGCTACTCGGAAGGCTGAGGTGGAAGGATCGCCGGAGCCCAGCAGGTTGAGGCTGCGGTGGCCGGGAGCAGCCACTGCACTCTGGGCGACAGAGTGAGACTCCAACTCAAAAAAAAGAAGTGGAGTTCTGCCGGGCTCGGTGGCTCAGCCTGTAATCCCGCGCCTTTGGGAGGTTGAGGGGAGTGGATTGCCTGAGCCCGCAGGTTCGAGACCCGCCTGGGCAACTTGGCGAGACCTCATCTCTACAATAAATCAAAAATTAGCCAAGCGTGGTAGTGCGCGCCTGTAGTTTCAGCTACTTGGAAGGCCGAGGCGGAAGGATCGCTGGAGCCCAGCAGGTCGAGGCTGTGGTGGCCGGGAGCGGCCACTGCACTCCAGTCTGGGCAACAGACTGAGACTCTGACTCAAAAAAAAAAAAAAGAAATGGAGTACTTGCCATCAACCACGTCCTGGTGAATTGAAAAGTCTCCTTCTTTCTCCTTTCCCCTTGTGTCTCCTACCTACTTCCCCTGCCTGCCTTCCCCATGGAATGCACCCTCTCCAGCAGGTGTGTCATGCAGAACGCCGAGTGAGGGGTGATGTGACACTCGCCCTACCGCATGTGCCGTGATGATCATCCATAGCAAAAGGAAGGCAGGCCTTCCTTTCTTTTCTAGTACCCTTTAGTTGGGTATGCACAAAAATGCACTCTTGCTTTCCCATTCCAGAAGCTGGTGGTTCACATGGGCCAGCACACACACTGGCAATGACCTTGTTTCTATAATAGTGAGTCCATTGAAATGGGAGCCAGAGGAGGTACTGGTGCTCCCCTGTCATAGCAGTCCCCACATCAGAGTAGGGTTGCGGTGCTGGCAGACATTTATACATACAAGTCTTTGTAATTTAGGACTTTCCAACATCTTTTTTCATGTGGGAGGAGAGGAAATGGCCAGGGAGTCTGCTCCAAGTAGCACATTTCAGGACAGCGCACACACCCATGTGCACATACACAGCAAAGAGCACTTAGCTCCATCGTGGATGAGAAAGTCCGTCTCTTGGCCAGGTGCAGTGGCTTAGCCTGTAATCCCAGCACTTTGGGAAGCCGAGGTGAGAGGATTGCCTGAGTCTGGGGGTTCAAGACCAGCCCGGGCAACTTGGTGAGACCTCATCTCTACAATAAATCACAAAAACTAGCTGGGTGTGGTGACTACTTGGAAGGCTGAGGCGGAAGGATCACTAAGCCCGGCAGGTCGAGGCCGCGGTGCCACTGTACTCCAGCCTGGGCGACAAGAGTGAGACTCCAACTCAAAAAAAAAAAAAAGTCCATCTCTTATGCTAGGTAAAACTCCAACTATTAACTTTGAGGTCACCTTACACTGTCTTCATCAAGCCTATCATCTTGATCATTGTCAATGCTTTTAGAAGATCTAGTGGTATTTCTTCTAGAGAAGGTCCCCTTCTGGCTCAGCAGAAATCTGTCTTCAAAGCCCCAATCCTCCTTCCCTGTGGGACCAAACTCCCGGGAGAATCTGATGGCTGTTTCTCTTCCTTGCCAGGAACTCTAAGGCCAGCAGGACCATGGAGAAACTCC